GGAGATTGGTCCGTGAAGCAGCCAGCCCTGCCCCGTTTTTGAGTGTTTGATTCACCAGCTCAACAGGATCGTTAACCAGTGGGGGTGCACTGACTTTAACTGTAACGCCTTAGAATGCCATGGTCTTGACCTGTGAGTGTGTGTGTGTGTGTGTGTGTTCGTTTGTTCGCGTGCTGGCCCACTTGTATGTAACCTGTCAGAAAAAATTTGTCAGACAACATTTAAAAGATTAAGGGCTTGACGGCAGTTGACAAAATTGGTGAGATATAACGCATCCTGTGATGTCACATTTTCTGTGGGAAGTTGGGACGAGTGCGAGCGCAGGAGGGATTAGAGCGTTACTTTTTATTTCGTCTATCATGTTTTTTCGATGGCCATGGACAACATTTCTCAACTAATTGTAATGAGATTTTTGCTTATTCTTTCCCCCCTGCATCAGCTTTTTTACACAGAGAGATATTCCTGCCCCTTTGATGGACTGACAGAAAAAAAAACAGAGAATAAAGGAGAGATATGGGGGGAGAAAACTGACAAAAGAAAGGAAAATGTATAGTGCCAAGCTATGTATATATACAGACAGGAATATGTGAGAGTTGTCTCCAAAAGCAATATCTTGATAATGGATTTTGTGTATTGTATTGTACAGGACTCAACCCTATATGTATTATTATTATTATTATTATTATTATTATTATTATGATTATATTATTATTATTATTATTATTATTACTATTATTATTATCATTATTATTATTATTATTATTATTATGCCATTTGTATTGATATATTTGTTCATTTAAGCTTGGGCTGGAGGACGAAATGGCTGGCGAACGTTACGTACATTTCTGGTCAATGAGCAGGAAATGCAACTGAAATCTTAAACTCACAAAAAAACAAGAAGAATCCCTGAACTGACAGAGGAACATGGTCAGATGAACTCGAGTGGACATCACAGTGACCCCAGACCTGACAACTGTCATTGTAATTATTAATTTTTAACATTATTCTAATTATTATTATTACTTTTGAAGGGGGGGAGAAAGGAAAAAAAGCTACCCCTCGTTTCTTGCTGCAAAGTGTTGAACACTAAAAAAACAAACCAACGTAAAAATGTAAAAAAACGATATTTTAGATGGAAACAAAACAAAAAAAAACAAAAAGAGAAAAAAGAACCTGTCAGCTGAATATCATGTTCTTAATCTCCTTTTTCTTTTTTTTTCCTTCAAATTGGAAAAAAATGGTTCCTTTTTTGTGATAGCGGTCATAATTATGATGCTTGTATTTCTTGTATTTGTGTGTTTTTGTGTGATTTGTTTAGTTATTTTTAGACAATCACAAAAATAACATGCAAGCATTGTATATGGACAGACTGACAGACATTTTGTGTTGTGTACAGTTTGTCAAAACTTCTTCCACTCTGGTTAAAAGTTTGTAATTATGATTCTAAAAGTCATGAAAATGCTGTTGGTTTTTACTTTTTTTGTTTTATATTCTATTTGTTTTGTTTTTTTGTTTGTTTGTTTGTTTTTTAATAAAAAGCACTACATTGTTGTGAATATACCTGCCTGTTGCTCATACATTTAGCCAAGAATCATGTGATAGTTCTTTACTAGGTCATAACTATTGATACTCAAGGTATACAGTCAAAGCATATTTTAATTGTATGGATAGTCAATTAATACATCTGCAAATAAAGTGAATTTTAACTATTGAATAGAACATTTACATTGTGTACTGTTATTTGAATTACTCAAAGTCCTGTGCTCTGATCTGTGATGCAGCGTTAGAGGTGTCTTGTTCGTCTGTTTCAAGTTTTCTTACGCTCACTTTACCTGGTCTATACATCCATTTCATGTGTGGACAGATGTTGGCAAAACAGTTTGGAAAAGCACATTTCTACAAGATGTTTCTTGGTTTTTAATGTTAACTGCTAAATTAATCAATGCTTAGTTTGGGGAAAAAAGCCATAAAGTCCTCCTTTGTGGGTTTTGGGCTAACAGCAGCAACAAAATGGTTTCTAGTTGTTTCTTTTTTTGTTGAAGCGAGTTATTAAAAGTTCCACATATTTTTCAAAATTTTTACATAATTCAGTCATTTGAAATATAGGGTAACTTGGGAGAAAAAAGCCCCCACCACCTAGAGCAGGGGTGTCAAACTCAGCCACTAACTGGGCCATATTAAAAAATCTCAACAAATCTGTGGGCCAGAGAAAAAATGTTATTTCATTTTTAATTAATGTTATGCTATAATTCCAACTAACCATTGTTTATTCAAAATACGCAGAAACTTCAGCAGTAAAATACAGGCACTTGTAGTAGACCTTGAAATATTACATGAATACTAGAAAAATTAAACATTTAAATGTCCTCAGGACCTAGATCTTTTAAACCTACCTTTTTGCCTAAACTAGACATCTGGCATCCTTTTTTGCTGCAAGTTCATTAAGTCAAAATTTCTGAGCTGCTGAGCTGATGATAGGTGTTTATGTTGGTTGAACTGCAGCTGAAATGCAGCTAGTGGTGATATGACTGGTGTGAAGTTGTGTAGAATTGTGTAGAATTGAGGTGTAACTGCTGTCCCATAGATTGCTGTTGGGGTAGGAGAGTCAGAGCGCACATTACATTGCAGTGCATGCTGGGGACTGTAGTGCAGCGCATTATGAAACGGGCTAATATTTATAGAAAATGAAAGCACTTCTGCAGGCTGGATAGGATTGTGTCACGGGCCTGATCTGGCCCGCAGGCCTTGTGTTTGACACATGGGACCTAGAGTGAGACGCCCTCCCCCCTTTTTCTGTTCTTATCAAATGTGACAAAATTTAATCTCATAACAGGTTTACTGAACTGTTATGCTTGAAGGAGTTCCAAATTTTCATGCGTATAACTGCACTACTGGAATTCTTTCCCTCAGTTACTTTTTGGGATCTACTTGTTTGTTATTGTTGATGTAAGCGTTTATATAAAAATAGTACAGAATAGTTTGTATGTATGTATGTACATACACACCGACCAGCCACTTCATTAAAACCACCTTGTTTCTACACTCATTGTCCATTTTATCAGCTCCACTTATCGTTCTGGTGCACCTTGTAGTTCTACAATTACAGACTATACTCCATCTGTTTCTCTGCATGCTTGGTAAGCCCCCTTTTATCCTGTTTTTCAAAGGTCAGGACCCCCTTAGCGTGTATTGTGCTGGTACGAGTGGTACGAGTGGATCAAACTGTTTTTAAACACTGTGTCCACTCAATGTCCACTCTACCTTGTTGGTCTACCTCATAGATCATCTTTACCCATTCCTGACTGATAATGCACACAAACTTTGGTTCATGCCTTCATTATGTCTCGTATTGATTACTGTAACTCCCTCTTCGTTGGTCTCCCTGTAAAGTCTATTCAAAAGCTACAGTACATTGAGAACCCCGCAGCCAGAGCTCTTACCCATGTTAAGTGTTCAGCTTGCATCACTCCATTCTCTCTCAGCTACACTGGCTACCGGTCCTGTCCTGTATGAAGTTAAAATTTTACTTCTTACTTTGAAAGCCCTGAATAACCTTGTTCCTCTCTACCTCAGTGAACTCTGACCTCTTACACTCCCTCTCGCTCTTTCAGGTCTTCTTGTAATAAATTATTTGTCCCACGCACCAGACTTCCCACCTGAGAGGTAGGTCCCTCAGTGCCATGACCCCAAACTCTGGAACTCTCTTCCTCAATCTCTCCATGACTTCTCTTCTTTTTTTGTTTTTTTGCAGTTAGGAAATATACCATCCACACCTCTTCAATCATTGGAACTTATCAATTGAATATTGAATATTTTGCATTGTTTTTATATCCTCACAACTTGCAAAGATACATTATTATATATTTATTGACCAATAGGTCAAACATTTTGTAAAAATCAGAAGACAGTTAATGCAAGATTTGCCAGAGAGTCTTCTTAGCGCAGGTAAGGGGGCATCATGCCCCACTTCACCTGTTTTCCCCTAAACAAAGGACTTCAGAGTGGTTTGATATGAAATGGTTAATGATAAAGAAATGTTGTTGACTCTGATGTCTTTACAGTGATAGGACTTTACAGTGATGTGTACTATTTCGTGTGTCTCAGCCATCAGGCAATGTATTCACAACCTTTTCATGTAATCACTTTCTGTGATGTAGCTTTTAGAGGTATTAAAAACCTTCGGATGTCTGGTTCCATTCTCTACCGCTGTGAGCAGGAAGTTTCTCTATAATGGCACATTAGAAATCAAACCACTCTGGATGACTCTTTTACACCTTATAAATTGAATCATCCAGAATGCCTTTTTTAATGCTCCAGGGAGCTTATAGTGGCCTATCTAATTGTTTTTTAACTCCTGATGACTGTATTCAGACTGAATAAGCCACTCCTCTGTAACGTATTTAGACCAGATCCGGTCGGCTTAATACACTCACTACGCACGTTGCGTAGGGCCCCACAAATAATGCGAGGGCCCTGCTTCCCTCTCGAGTCACAGCTGCTTATTGTTTACAGCTTTGATGAGAGAATGAAGTAAAACTATCCATCCGGTCACGAAAAAAGTGACCTGCAGGAACAGCAATCAGGTAAACTTGTGTTCTCTCTTAGTTTGATGTCAGCAAATGTGCTGTGCTTAACTTTGACAGTATTTATGCTAATGTTAATATTCACTTTTCTTCAAGATTACATAGTAACATATTCAATAAATATTGTTTGTTCATACCACATTCTGTTCTGTATAGGTCTACTTATTCTTAGACAGATGGAGCAAACTGTTTTACAGGAAGGAGGATTGTAGAGGCAGCACTGGGGTGTCAGGTGTGACTGTGTGGAAATTGCAAATGGTTTACAAGGATCACGGGTCAGTTAGGAGGACCTTATATGTAGACTAACGGCTACAGTAATTCTTTCAGACTAGTTCTTGATTTCAGTCTTGTCATAAATATAAAGTCAGACTGTAGGGGGCGCCAAAATCCACCAAAGCGCGCCGGCCTCGACGGGTACTGCTGTTGACAAGGTAACCACATCAACAAAAATAACGTTCCTGACGCCTCAGTTATTTAGACTATTCTTTATTTCTCTCTTTAGTTGCTTTTGTTCTAGAAACTGCGGCTGAAAAAGGATGAAAAAACGAACGGAAAAGCTCACCAAAGAGAAAGGAGACTCTGGAGTTGAGGACGACGCTGTAAAGAGTGCAGGTGGCTGGATTAGGTTAGGAGTCAGTTAGTTAGCTAACTGTTAGCGTTATTTAGCTTCTCTTTTCTTTCAGATTTGCTGTGAGATGCAGATATTTCTGTATGTATCCAAGATTAAGTTAAATGAATTTATCGTTGATCAGCTGCGTAAACAGGAACAAATGTCATCTGTTTATATTACTGTCTGTCCTTCAGGGCTGAACATACAGGACAAATTCCCAGTCCAAACCACAGGTTAGGTGGAAAGCCTTGTGCTTTTTCTTTTGAAGTGGAGTTTATGGAAGCTCGTATATATATATATATATATATATATATATATATATATATATATATATATATATATAGCCATTTATTAAGTCGAAATTATGAGAATGTTTTCCATAATAATGACTTCTAATAATGACATAATTATGACTTAGCATATCATAATTATGAGAAAAGTTTCTCATTATTATGTGGCACTAATTCATTATAGTGAGATATTAGGCCCAGTCCCATTTCTTATTTTTACCCCTACCTTTTCGAGTGTCACCTGCCCCCTGTGTTACAGGGGGAAGTGGTTGAAATCTTTCCCACGAAATGGGACAACCCTGAAATAAAAAAGAACATTACTTCATTAACAGGCTGCTGTAGGCGACCCAGCCAGTAGACTTGAGTAGTGGTAAAGTTCAGCAACCTCATATGTCTTTAGGAGCACGGGTGCGACAATTATCTGTTATCCCATCCTTAATTCTTTGGTGATGAAGCTGAAGTCAGCTATTCACTAGCTTCTTGTTTGAGTTTTCCCGTTCCACCTTAAATGGTGCAGCAGGTCTGACACCTGAGGTGCCAGAACAGGAAGTTTTGCTAGCTAGCTACCAAGACATCAGCACGCTACTAGCGATTTTTTTTGGTTGTTATGAAGAAAAGGACCAAAGTACATTGAGACGACATTAAACTAAGATAATACAATGGTTATCGTAATTTTTAACTGAGAAAATACTTACATTTGTGGGTTTCTTTGCTCGCTCGCGCAGCCATCTTGCCGGTTTTCCTTTGATTCTCATAACACTCCGTTTGGAGCGTGCCTCGGGACATCCTACGCCTAGGCGTGAAAACAGCGGGGTAAGGGCTAAGTGGTAGGGACAAGAAGTGAAATGGGATTGGGCGTAAGTCATAATTATGGAAATATCATTATTATGACTTATTAAATTACTGAATATTTTTTCCAGTGGCGGAAAGGCTTCCATGAGTCTTGCTATACTTGCTCTAACTACGTTTCTGGTCACTCTTCAAAGATGACTACCAGTGCTCCGGCAATTTGGAGATGGACTTCCCAGAGCTGTGTGCGTTAGCTGGCATGAATGAAACCCCCCTCGTGAAGCTGAGACAGCTGACAGCAGCGTCCCCTTCTACAGACAGCGGAGCAATGGGTATAGATTTTGGGTATAAATCAGTTTTCCCTTCTTAAAACATTAATACAGTTCTGGGTTACGCCTGCACTTAAAACGGGAATTCCACCAAATTTTTTAAAAGTTCTGCTTAGGAAAGTCATTGAAATGCAAACAGATTAATTCAGAGTGATGTGAAAGGATTCACTGTAGAGAAACATACTGACTCTGATTCTTTACAGTGGTGGTGAAACCAGGAGTCACAATATCTACAACACAAATTTTATTTACAATCCGAAACCACCAGTGAACAAACATGTGTCTTCTGTGTTTTTACATATAATGTTGATGATGGTAACAAGCAGTGTAATTATAACTGTTTAAGGTAATAAACCTGAAGGTGAGGGAGCTTAAACACTTAAGATGTCTGGTTCCTCTCACCACCACTCTAAATGATTCTGACTCAGTAAGTGTTTCTAGAGCTGTGCACTTCACATCAAATCACTTCGAATGACTACATCTGAACTATTTCATTTCACTGGAAATTTGAAAAATGAGAGGAATTTCCCTTTAAAGCACACAGTAGGTATTTTTCAAGGTTACATTGAAATTTATTCACAGGGGAAAGTCAATGATTTTTTCAAACTTTCTTCACAGTTCAATTGTTGAGATGTAAACAAAATCACTCAGAATGTTTTGGTGTGAAATGGTTCATTACAGTTCAAGTTCTTTACAGTGGTGCTGACAGGAATGGTTTTTGATGTTTACAATGCAAATATAGCCAATTTGTTTACAATCAGTGAGGCTACATTTCTTTACTTTTGATATGTAATTTTGATAATGGTAAAATAGTGGCAAAAAAAGTTTAAGTGGGGACTATTTTGCCTCCTAGCGCCCTCCATGCCCTGCATGTAATGGAGCAATTCACTGCTTTGAATGGCTGTTTACATTAGTGAGTTAATTATGCAGACATTTTTAAAAATCAGTGGAATTCCCTGTTGAAAGGGTTATTGTGACCTTACATTATTTTTTGGTCACAACATGATTTACCTCAAGAGTACTCATCCTGAAGACACTTCTGCAGAGTTTAGTCCCAAGCTTAATTTAAACATCTAATATTAAGATGCCCTAAAGACCTTGATTGGGTGATTTTGATTAAGCTTGGAATTAAACTCTTCAAAAGCAGAGTCTCAAGGTCTTTTAAAAAGAATTGAGGGTTTTTCCACTTGTACATCTACATGTCTTTCTGGCATTCTTTATTATTGCTCTGGCTGTTCTCCTTATTATGTGCAAAATTGTCAAGGCTGTTGTGTAAATGGAGTTTAATTAATCAAATGAATTAAATCAAATTTCTCTGTTTAGAGGACAGTCAAACCCAAATCTCGCCCAGAAGCCCTGTCACAACTTGGTGTCCTAAACCCTGCATTCAAGTAGAGATGGAGAATGGGGACTCTCAGAGTGCAAAGAAAATCATCATATCTGGTAAAACAATTAACTCCAAAAAACTAAACATTTACACAAAACATCACAAATACAGGACTGTACCATTGTGTGGGCAGGATTGCAGGAGAAAAAATTGAAATACAAGGTTCTTGTATTGTTCTGACAGTGTCATTATGTTAGAACAGTAATTGCTGTGTACAAACAAACAAAAAGACAGATAAAGTAATGCACTATGATTTGTGTTGCTCTTTAGGTTGGCAGGTGGATGAGGTGATGGCTCAAGTGCTGAGTAAGATATTACCGTCACTGAGCAATTTACAGAGTCTAAAGTAAGTAGTTGAATGTATGGGTCTGATAAATGATTTGTGTAAGTAAATTAGTATGTAGACTACACTATTAAATATAATACGATATACTGACAAATGCAAAAGTTTGAACACCCCTGATTAAATTACATGTTTGTTGATATCCTAAGTGAAAATACACGATCAAATACATGGCCAAAAGTATGTGGACAGCTGACCATCAAACCTAATTTATCCCTTTCCAAAACCATGAGCATTAATATGGAGTTTGTTGATGTGTTAACATCTTTTCACTTAAAAAATCGACAAAACACGTCATTTGACTGGGACTTGTGCACGACTGTATAATGTAATATATTATGTACTGCATGGTGATGTATTTTACAGGATGTGGCAGGCCAGACTGACTGATCGCATTTTGATCTCCTTGAAGAACACAATTTCTATGTGCTCAAACCTCAGGTGACTGATACAGGAGAGTGACTGTGTATAGAGCCATACTTCAATTGAAATGCTTCACTGTACAAAACAAAACAAAAAAATGAAGTATCAAAGCAATGCTTGAGAAAATATCAAATTCAAATTTAGCTTTAAATACAAGAGGACCTTTAAATACAAGAGTTTCATTATCCAGCATCCTGGACTTTTTCATGTATTAAGCTTGACTGAAATCCTTATGCTCTGCGCTAGCCTGCTGTGCCTGTTACATTGAAATTTACAAGATTGCGTTTAGACGTTTGAGACATGATTTTGCAATTTAAAGCATACACCAATGAAAAAATCTGGTTTCAAACAGATATACTCAAACTTCTAAGTGGTTGTTTTGTTCTGAACCGCATCCATGGAGCACCTTGAAAACAACTTAAATCGTACTCTGTCATAATATTCATGCATTTGCCTTGGAAACTATATGAAAAAAGCCCAATGTTCTTTTACCTTCTCTCTTTTCTTGCTTTGTCTGCGGTAGGACAGTCATTTTGGAGGGAAACCCAATTCCAGAGCAAAGTTATCATATTCTCATTGGAGAGGACAGTATGTAAGTGTTTTTTTTCACACACTGACTGACATAATTAACTCAGATATTAAAAAATGGTCACATGCATCTATAACAATAAAGAGGGGCTTATCGATACAGACCTCTGAGGATGTGTCTTTATATTGTAGTTGATAAATAAGAGGTTTTGACAGTAGTAGACTACAGTGTGTCTAGCTGATGTTGTTATTTTATAGTGTTGAGCAGCCCCATGCACTGACATTTTAAATTGGAGGGGTTCAAGGGGGAAAAAGGGCAATTTGAACATGAGTGGCCAGATTAATGAAACTCAGTACAGATTAATAAAAGATGGTACAGTGTACCATCATGCAAAATGTGCAACATGATGAATAAGAAAAAGTCACCATGGTGGTGAATAGCAAGCCGGTGTTTTTAATGTGGCTTTATTTTCACCGGTGTCCTGGGCAAGAGCCAATCAGAATAGACATGTGAATGACCGCATGCATATTAATGAACCATGTCAAATGATGCTCTTGTTAGCTGCCAAAGGAAAGAAACCAAAGAAAACAGAGCTATGAATTTTAAGGGAAGAAGTGCTGACAAATAGTAGTAAATTGCTTTCAACTTTGTTGCTTAATGAGAAAATATTTTTAGTATAAAAAGAGACCTGTATAAAAAAGCAAATTATAACATCTTAAAATTTATTTTTTAATTGTAAGAATTATATTTTAACATGTAATCAAATAATTATAATAATACATAAAGTAAATGTCATTTTCACATGTGTAAATTCTACATTTGCAAAATTTTGTAAAACTTGTAAAATCCATTGTAAAAAACTACTTGCAATTAAATCAATTCAAACATATTTAGAATCTCAACGTGTCAGATTACTCTTCACTTATTACAAGCTAAACCTTCTTTCCACACTCAGGAAGGGGATTTTCTCCTCTGTTCTCCTACAAACAGCAGTTTTAAACATAAAAACATAATAGTCATCAGTGGTCTGTACACTTGGTACTTACAATACTGTTTCACTGCAAAAGCTGGCCTTTGTCAAAATGTTAAAGCAAACGTCTGCTTCAATGCATCGAGATGGTCAAAGGTAAGACATAAATGATTCTATAGCAATTTTCATATCTGCTGTGGCAGTACACTTTAGCCTGGGATAATTAGGTTTAGATTTTTACGTTTGCTGTGTTGTTTTTTTCTGACTTTGTACATCTCAATTGTCTGATTTTAACTCACTTACGTTGTCTTCATTGGACCCTCTGTTGAAGTAGTGTATAGTTATAAAAGTAGCTTAACTTTTATGTCTATGTGACATCAATTAAATACACAAGGGTGTTAGCTTGCTTGTAGCATGTATATTATTGTCTTTGTATTTTGATTAGTAAATGACCTCATAAATTAGAGGACACTTCGCAGAAAAATATGCACAGGACAAAACATACTGACTTTGCAGCTTATGTTTTTTCCCACATGGTGCTATAGTGACAGTTTTCAAAATAGCATTCATTTTTTCTTTAAAGATAAATGGCTTATTTGGGCATGTCATTGACTATGATGCACATGCTCAGAGGTCTGTAGGCTGCTCAGCTTTTGAACCACTACATAAATACTGTTTTTTGCTTTAAAACTATACCAGCGTTCTTCTCTGCCACTGCTAGGATAACGCACCTGTCATTGCGGAACAACTGTATAGGAGAGGAGGGAGCACATTTGATTGGCTCAGCACTCTCCACAGCACATTCTACCAACAAGAACCTCCTAACACTCAACATGGCCTTCAACTCTATTGGTGATGGAGGTGCCATTCATATTGCACAGGTGCTGAAATTCAGAGAAATCTAAAGAATGCAGCATAATGACAGCACGTCTGTAACCATAGGCACAAGTCACAAATCACTACCTTTATTCTTTACCTGCAGTTATTTATGTCTGTTCTGAGATTTATATGTTGATCAATCTTGAATTTTGTATGTTCTGTTTTGCAAGCATTCAGTAGTTGGTATCTGTGTCTTCACTCTAAGAACTTTATATCTCCTCAAATGGCTGGAACTACCAATGGGTCCAAATGTCTGTTACTCACTTTGGTGGCTTAGAGCTATACAATGTAAGATTTGGGGATTTGGGGATTCCTCTTTGGTGGAAATGTGTAATTGCATGCAACATGTGGAAGAACACATTGTAATGTCAGTTGTGCTTCAGACCCCTTCCCCGAGCAGATGAATCTGATGATTGCAAGCGCGTTGAAAGAGCGTTCAAAGAGAGCTCAGTCAAAACTTGGTGATGTGTAGGTGAATGATCTGCTGTTGTCACCATATCTTCATCAGTATAATGTTGATTTGAGATCTAAACATTGAGCTGGACCTTCATTTTGGTGTGTGACGTTAATATGTAAAGACGTGTAAAGATGTATGACATGGTCTGAAAAACTCCTGCAATATCTAGCCTGACATCCCCAACATTTAAATTAATATTTAGTGTTATTATTTAATGCTATTTCTTTCAATTTAATGCTACTTTTTCAGTTTTAACAAGAACGTACATAGTGCAGCTTTAAGAGTAACTCTTACAGGGTCTCCCCCTCTGGGGACACTCTTTAGATTGGCCTTCATCTAAAATGGCTCATTCCAACTCTTGCACCTCCCTGACTCCACCTCTCCATAACTACACACAACTACAGCCCATTTCTAGGACATTAGCATATATAAACTCCTTTGTTTGGCCTGCTAGTTGCAAAATCTCTGTGTCCTTTATAATTTATAATAATCTTGACTTTTTCTTTTTAAAATCTTTTTTAGGGGTTGCGTCTCAACCGCTCTTTGTTGTGTCTCTCCCTGGCCAACAATCATATTACAGATGCTGGGGCGATCTGTTTAGCTGAGGTACGTCTTTAAATATTCTCATCCCTTTATGAAAAAAAAAAAATATTGGATTCCTCCTTCCACACAGAGTTAAAGCAGCTATGCTAGTTAGCTATCTAGCCACTTGCTAGTCAGAACACAGCAGATGTATTTCTGCTCACGTAATTGTAATTGGATATCCAAAACGCATTGAGGTTACACTCGTGTTCAATGTGGTCAAGATTCTGACCACCTCCGAATGTGGTTTGAGTAATTTGACTGTAATCTGCCCACAATGCATCCTAGAGGTGTTTACACCTGGCATTTCATACGGTGAAGTAAAATCTGAATGTTATCTGTTCACAAAAATGCCTGCTAATGCGGTGTGTAAACAGGTGTCATGGAAAATAACTAAATAAATCAGAAAACTGAAGTTTCAGAGTCACAATAAGTGCTCCAAAGTAATATGTTTATTGAAAAACTCCTGGAAAATACCCAGAGATTTCTGAAGACAGACCAAAGTTACAAAGGGTTATATATTCCCCAAGTAGGCTGTTGCTATTTTTCATTGGTTAACAGAGAACAAAGAAATTACAATTCATTGGTTACAACTAATTTTGATATGAATAAATATGAAAGCGTTAACATATATGCATAATTAATGACAAGGAAGGAAGCTCTTATATGGTCAGAAAGTCCTCACACACCTGGTCCCTTCTAGAGGATTTTTTGTCTGTACCCTCAAAGCCACTAAACAATCATTTACTGTAACCCCTGTCAGCTAGCTAGGCCTCAGGAGAGAAAAACATGAGATAAGGCCTGGGCAAATGTGAGGAGTAGACCGTTTGTCCCCTCCTTGCACTCAAAGAACAGTGATAGTCCACCCTAAATTTTCAGAGTAACATATCTATCATCTTAAGCAAAGACCACCGCTAAGAAGTAAGTATATACCTTCTAAAAGCATACATCAATCATGGCCATATAAGTAGAGTGACCGGCTATAATAAACTCCACACATGTACACCTCTCAAAGGTAAAGCTTTGGTCACCAAAACCACACAGGCTCACTAACTCTATCCCTCTGTATAGGTGATTGGCCCCTTTGCTCTGACGCACGAAGAGATTGTTGAGAGAAGGAGGCAGTTGATGAAGAGGGACCAATCGGTAAGGAATCACACGACATTGTCATTTCTGATTTGTTGTATGGTATGCTTAAAAGGGGAATAAAATATTATGCATAATTCAATCTTTAAAACAAAGTCATTCAGAGTGGATTGATGTGAAATGGTTCATTATAGAGAAATTTACCAACACAGATTTCTTTACAGTGGTGGTGATGGTAACCAGGCATCTCAATGTTTACAGCACAAATATAGCCATTTTATTTACTATCTAAAACCACCAGTAAACCTACACATATCTTCTGAATTTTTGTATGTAATTCTGCGGATGATAAAAAAAGAGCTAAATCTGAAAGAAAATGTTTTCTTTGGGGACTGTTTTGCCTCACAAGTACCTGTCCACCATGAATGTTTTAAAAAGCACATTTTAAGCCAAAATCTTATCTCAAAACTATTGTAAAACAATGTCTCAGGTAGCATATCTGTAACCATTTCATGTGATAACTTTATTTAACAAAGTTTATAGAGACATTAAACTCTTCAGATGCCTGGTTCCTGTCATCGCCACTGCAAACAATTCTGACTCAGTAAGTTTCTCAAGAACAGAGCATTTCACATGAAACAATGCATATATGTTTACATCTTACATTCATCTGTTGGATCTATTTTAGATAGAGATTTAGCTGACAGTGTTTTTCCTGGTATCAGTCAGAATTAGGGCAGACTTTTCATCATCTGTCCCTCACCTCAGCCCCACTCCACACAAACCAAGGCCTCTTTGGTTTAGCCTGACCAATTACCCACGAAAGAGCTATCTAGCTAGCTAGCATTTTGGTACCCACTGTCGAGTTAATTTAGAGTTTGCAAGCATTACCAGGAACTGTCATGACTTCACTTTATAGTGGTGAAGTAGATTGTGTATTAAGGGTATCATATTACTTTGTTATTCAGATATAGATGGTAAAACGATGGCATTATGCTAATGTTGCTTGAGAGGAGTTTTAAATATTTGATATAGTCTACATTTATATGTAACATTGATGATCGTAAAATAGTGGTAAGTCTAAAAATATTTTTGCCACACAAGTACCTCTTCACCATGAATGTGTTTTAAAAAGTACTCTTTAGAACTGAATCTTATCTCAAAACTGTTGTAACACAATAGTCTCATGCATCAGCCAGCGTATTTGTAACCATTTCATATAATAACTTTATTTAAGGGAGTTTTATAATGGCATTAAACTCTTCAGACACTAATTCCAGTTACCACCACTGTAAACAATTCTGACTTTCATATTTTTTAATAACGGAGGCTTGGTTATTTTCTTTAGAACGGAGCAATTCACATCAAACCACTCTGAATGATTTTTTACCACATAATTTCATTATGCAGAAATTTAAAAAGGTGGAATTTTGACCAAAGTTTTTCTCTGTTGTTTTTATGATGCCAACATTTCAGAGCTTGATTTGGTCAGATTTTCAAATCATATTTGCCCTGCTATTTGTCTGCTGTCTGTTAGCTCAGTCTGTTCTTTTCTCTCTCTGTCTTTCCTCCACCATACTCTCTCATTCCCCACCTCTCATTTTATTTAGCCATCTCAGTTAGGCATTGCAGACTCTAAATGTGAGCGCCCTCTCTCCATCCCTAGCAGCTCATCACTGGAACAATGCAGTAAAGGAACCAAGAGTGCCTCTAAAAAAAAGGTACTGTCTGTCTGTTTCTCTCATCAGCTTGTTTAATTCTTACTGTCCCTCAAAACTCAATCTAGCGAGGTATCTTAGCTGTGTATTCTAAGGCTGTTTTTAAAGGGGTTGTCAAATTATTTATTCCCTTAATCTGTTTATGCCTTTAGCAATATGTTCATACATAAATCTAGTCTAAATTGACTGTCGAATAAAGTATTTCAGTTTCAAATTTTGATTGAAAGATTCTTGTACTTTTGTGTTTTCCTCTGTTGGGAAAATCAGAATTAGCCTCTTTAGTTCAGCCTGATCGATTAGCAGTGAGAGAGCTAGCTATCTAGCATTTTGGTGCCCAGATTCAAGTTAATTTAGAGTTTGCAAGCATTACCAAGGACTGTCATGACTTTACTTTCTAGCGATGAGGTAGAAGGTAGAGTCGATATAGCGTATATCTTGATAGAGCACATTGAGGGCAGCCCTTTTTCCTAGCTAACACAACCATTTCACAAGTTGTCAACAGTAATAAATACCATGCTGTCGGCTAATTTATGTCAGGGTTGGGTATGCTTTTTTTTCGGAACATAGCTAAAAGATGTAAACATCAAGAGAAGGCTACAATACTGCTCTCCACCTGGCAAAGAATTGACTTGGTAAATTATGACCATTACATTTCACTTATTCACAGAGACTTTGACTGTTAGTCAAATCATGCTATCCCAGCAAATACTTCTTTGAATAGCAGTGATGTCTGGTCAGAGCGAGCATCAAACTCCTTTGTCTGTTTTGTCCAAGGAGACTGTGTTTTTACAAGCCTGGACCATCAGAAGGTGCCCAGTGGTTGAGAAAACATGGGCTAATGCACCTTTAATGCCTTAAAATCCCAGGCTTATTACATACTAAGGCTTATTGTTCAGTAACTACAGGGACTTCAAGGCAAACTGGCTGAGCTATTCTTAGGTTATAGAAGTGTGTAACAAAACTTTGGGCTCACCATTGGGTGCTGGCCATTTAAGAGTTTAATGGATTGTCACCTATCATAGCCACCTTGCAATACTATAATCAAATGCTGACTCATTTGTACATGCATTAACCCCTTAAAATCCCAGGCTTTTTACACACTAAAGTGTATTACTCAGTAACTACAGGGACAAACTGGTGGGGCTATTCTTAAGTTATAGAAGCGTGTAATAAAACTTTGGGCCCACTCGCAGGCCCTGGCTGTTTTGGAGGTTAATCACACCCCCAGTTGGAACCTAACTTTACCTTCATAATCCAACATCTCATGTAGAATTAAAGCCCAATTTCTGACAAAAAAGCTACAAAAGATGCTGGGTGTTGGCACAACGTAGTGTCTGAATCCCATCCCTCACACAGTCCTGATCAGTTGAGTTTTTAACTGAATTATAGTTCATAACTTACTTTTAACATTTGCAGCTAAGTTGACTTCACCTTTAAATATAAATTCCATAGAAACTGGTAGCAGTGCATATTGGATTTTTCTTTAGAATGTTTTGTGATGACTCAATCAAAGATGACATTTGTTTATGCTTCTTATCTAACCAATCTGTGGTGAGAAATGTAAAAAAAACCAAAAACAAATTCTACTGTACATTACTTACCTACTGCAATAACAATAACAATAACTGCCCTATTACGCCTTTAAAGAGCCCATATCATGGAAAAACAATTTTTTTCAAATAATGATGTTGTATGCAACATTATTAAAGGTTTCGTCCATACAGTCCATATATAAAACAAACTGTTTTGCATTCATTGTTTTCGTGATGTCACAAAAACCAACACATTTACGTATATCCACTGATTCAGCCTAGTGTGGCCCAATTCAGAACAACCAGTCAGAATGGAGTTCATTTACATATCGTTGCTGGAGGACAAAAACCTTGTATCTGCAAAATGTTACATTTTCAGGAGATGGAAAATGTTGTGGAGGATTTTCTGAAACTTCTGTAGCTCTAGTGAGTGAACTGTGTGTCCTGTGCCTTCAGTCACAGTAAACTTAGTGTGACCCATAAGATGACAACCAAATACCGTGTAGGATTTCCATACCTTTCTGTAACTTCCTAAACAGATGGCTCTCATAACAATGAGACGATGTAATCCCAGCCAGGTATGACCTCAATGACCAGTTATTTTTTAATGAGCGCATCTCTAGAATAGAAATAAGGGAAGATTTTTTGAGCTAAGGGTTTGGAAAATGGCCAAGAAGAATGATACAGCTCATTTTCAGACAAAGCTGGACATGGCCCAAAATTAATATGCTGACTAGGACATAATGGTAGTCAATAAGGTCAAGCACTTTGAGAATAAATGGTTCCCAAATGATGCAGAGATGAATGAAATGGAAGGGGCAAAGGAGGAGAGCAGGTGAACCCCTCCTTTGCCCAGAGGTGTATAAAATTGATGTATTTCCTTTGTGTATGTTAGTTGCTTCTCAAGAACTCAGATTAATACTGTTTTTCTTGTAAAGGCTTTCATTTTAAATAAACTTAGGAACAATTCTAACACTCCTCGAATTTCAGAGTTAATGTGAAAAGATTTTATTTTAAGCAAATTTGGGTATTTGTATTTTTCCATTTGTCATGAAACATTCACAAAAGGAAAAGAGCTGGGTGGTCTAGGGCCTTTCCTAGATCGGGGCCTTGTCGTGGCGGAAGGGCTTGTGTGATCTAGGGATCTTCAGAGCTGAGTTGTCAGGAGCAATATGCTCCTGGTAGGGTCTCCCAGGGCGAACAGGTCCGGAGTGAAGACCCAGACTAACTCAATCCAAAAACCCTCCATGAAAAACGGACACAGAAGATCGTGTACCCTGCTTCATTTGGAGAAGGCTTACGACTGTGTTCCCCGAGATATCTTGTGGGAGGTCTTCCGGGAGTTTGGGGCGCCGGGGTTACTACTCCGGGCCATTCAATCTCTGTACGCCCGGAGTGAGAGCTGTGTTCGTATACTCGGCATTAAGTCAGCACCTCAGCACCTCCAAGTCCGAGTCCATGGTCTTAGCCCAGAAAAGGATGGCATGCCCACTCCAGGTAAGGGAAAAGGACTTGCCCCAGGTGGAGGAGTTTAAGTATCTCGGGGTCTTGTTCACGAGTGATCTGGAAGAGGGATCGTGAGATCGACCGCAGGCTGGGACAGGCGGCAGCAGTAATGCGGTCACTGTACCAGACTGTAGTGGTGAAGAGGGAGCTGAGCCATAAGGCGAAGCTCTCTGTTTACCAATCGGTCTACATCCCAACCTTCACCTATGGTCATGAGCTGTGGGTAATGACCGAAAGAATGAGATCGCGAATACAAGCGGCGGAAATGAGCTTTCTTCGCAGGGTGGCGGGCTACATTCGGAGTAGAGCCGCTACTTCTCCGCATTAAGAGGAGCCAGCTGAGGTGGTTCGGGCTTCTGATCCGGATGTCCCCTGGACGCCTCCCGGTGGGGGCGTACCAGGCACGGCCTACCGGAACAAGACCCCGGGGTCGTCCTAGGACCCACTGGAGGAATTATATCTCCAAGTTGGCCTGGGAGTGGCTTGGGGTCCCCGGGAATGAGCTGGAGGAAGTTGCGGGGGACAGGGTCGTCTTGGATTCTCTGCTCTCCCAACTGCTACTGCGACCCTATCTGGACTAAGCGGTTAACGATGATGATGATGATGATGAAGAAAAGAGCTGGCATTTCCAAATTGTCTCAATAAGTGAAAAAATAAACAAGAAAAGCAAACAGATTTAGTTAAAAAAATTAAGTACTACACTTAAAAAGAGGGTTCTTCCATGAGTTCTAAACAGAACCATTTCATGCTTAAATGGTTCTTTGCATTATGAAATGACTCTTCAGTCTGATGGTTAATTCAATGTATTTGGTTCTATATAGAACCTTTTTGAAAATGGTTGTCCAGTCTTATCTCTAAAGGGTAAGTGTGCTCTTGCTTGGTTAGTATGAAAACCTGCAGCCACACCGGCTCTTTGCTGATAAGATTTGGCACCCTGGTATGAGCAGTCACTGAGCCACCAGGGGGCCCAGAGTATGTAATTTTTATTAATTTATTTAATATTATTTGTCAGAAAGTCCAAAGGTGCTCCTGAATCGTTTCTTTTCCTAAATTAATTAAGTCCCAAATCATGTTCTTTTCATGCATACAAAATGAATATTACTAGATTGGGTGGAGTGTGGGCCACCACTGGTAGGTTGACATTTAGGGCTCCCAGATGTTCAGAAATGGCCCTGAGTGACTTTAACATGTTTCCTTGCAGGATGCTCCCAAGAAGGAAGAGAAGCCAGCAGCGCTTCAGACAGCATCCACTGCAGGAAAAAAAGAAGTGACCAAGAAAGGTAGTATGACTTAGATACATTCTCATCTCCATTAATTCTGAACTACATCTCCTCCAGAGCTATGTTGAGACCGTTTGACTGCATCTCACATCCAGTCACAGCAGCTTTACATAAAAATATCCTACCGTTATCTTTGGCAGTCACACTTGTTGGATAATTTACCACAGCATAACTCAAATTTGTGAAGTGTTTTTTCTCTAACAGTGTTTTAAAAATCCCAGACTCTGCAGACACAATCTCCAGCGTCCCCTCTTATTACCTTTGTGAGTTAATGTTGATAAAACTTGTCAGATAAAATGTTAAAGTGATGGTGGTGAATAATGAGGAGACTGAGCTGAACATGTTTCTGCTTATTAGGAGGAAAATCATTAGCACGGTCTGCTAAAGTGTTTGGGAAACTGAAACTGAAACTGTGGAGTGGTGACACTGATAAACAGCAATAAGTGCTGAAAATATTCTTAACTTCAAGTTTATCACACTTTAGTTCTGTGTGACCTTTTTTATATCAGTAACGGTAGCTAACATTAGCTGTCTGGCTAACAACCTTGATTATTTTGATTACATGTTTACGTTTCAGCTGTGTGCTGTGTGTGAGTGGTTGTTTGCTAGGTAACAGACATGACAGTTGACTGTCCACTTCAATAGAGTAGGTTAAGATTTCCTAACTTGAGATAAGATGCTGTAAGATAAGATTCCTAAATTGAGATAAGATTTGCTTCTGTAATACGAATTTGTAAAAATCTTATCTTGACCTGTCAGATCTTAAGACAAAAAGATAGGAAGCTTCTGTAATACAGCCACTGATGTCTAAATCCTGGCACCAGAAAAGGATAGAATAGACTTAACTTACATATGACTAAAACATGATTAGGTGTGCCTAAATTGGTTATTACAATTTTTATTATTACAAAGACGATAAAATAAAGGAATTAACATAAAAAATAAAGGATATGTGTTTTGGGGGAATCTCCAGTCACTCCATTCACTCCTCTCTATCAGGGATCATCAGTTTCATGGCTGTTTGCATGACATTTAAAAGGTGTTAGAGTGAGGACATATGTTCCCATATCATGCATGAGAACAAGTGTCTCTTCATCTCAGCAGTGGACATGCTGGGGCCTTTTGCACACCAGTCCCCATGACTCTAGCCGCTCTCTATTATGTCTACCATGGATCACAGAACGGAGTCTTCATAATCTCATTAATCAGCCTTCTTGCAAAGGTCTTCAGCATCTTGTCTTCGAAGGCAGGGTTCACCAGAAGCTTGCCAAGAATTTCTCGAAATATAAGACATGCACAAGCGTATAATTATTAACCAGAAAAAAAGATTGCCGTTCCCACTATTCCAGAGACAAGGTTTAGGATTCTAATGCTGTGTGCTGATGCTGTGGCTTGGTGATGAGTCCCCTGTCTCCAAGGACCAGGCTTTTCCCGTCTCACACAGGGTTCAGTCATCCATGACCGTCTTCCCTGTGCTAAAGTTGAGTTTTTCAAAACAGGAGCTCCTCACAGCACAGCAACGACATTACACTGCAATCTGCAAGTAATGTGCCGCACATCAAGAAAGAAAAATCACAAAAATCTAATATAAAACTACATAGATATGATAGAGGTGTTAGCTGTCACACTGGGTCATTCTAGCACTGTTAATGACAGACAAACACTGAAGAAAAACAATTTCAGCAGCCGGTAACAGCTTCAGTTTCTATGTCTATGCGTTTGAGCTATCAAAACAGTGAACACTCAGCAGAGCAAAATCCTTTGCTTAAATTGCTGTTTACACTCCAACAGCATTGACTCCAGCCTCATACAGCTCTGCTCCTCCAGATCTAGAACCAGTGTCCTTAAAAATGCACTGTAACCTCAGCTGCAACACATCAGTCCTTATTTCACATTAAAGATGCAGCACAGCAGAAAGGTTAAAGTCCACCTATTCAGGTGCAGGAAATGAAATGGGTCCAGTTCAGTTGATGAAGTGCGTAATGACAACATGCTGCAGGCCCCACGCAGGGGAGCTGTGCTTTTCCAAACTCCTGTTCTAATCCTGTTTCTAATTTGTTTAAAATTACTAATACAAATCCAGTAACACATACTATGTCTTTGTATTCCTTAGTTACTGAGGTAAATGTAGTTAAGGTCAGTTAAGCTGGATAACTTCCTTACCTGGATGAACAGACTTATTGGAGATTGGCATAAACAAGTCCTTTTCTGTGTGCACAGCATCCTTCAAGGTACCTGTCACAGGCATCACAGAGACCCAAAAGCCAAATAACTAACATTCCTAGGTGTTAGCAATATATTCTTGAGCAAAATATTCTATATTAGAAAGATTATAATTTGACTACGGGAGATATTCTACATCCCATCAATCTTCTCTCACAAATCCCACTAATTTCTTTAAAAAAATAAATGCAAAAATACGGGTCTACATGAGTCAGGCAGTAATTGGATTTCTGCTTTGCACCCGGCCAATATACTCACAGAAGACGTGACATGAAGCTAATGTAAAACTCAAATTTCATGCTGCAGCATGCATGCTTCTTTCGTGGCAATGCTGCTTGCTTATTCCCAGTACCACCATCTGTTTTCGCACATGCACAGACTGAGAAATCCAGAAGAAATTCAAGTAAGAGTTTACATGCACTGAGAAATCTGATTACTGAGCTAAAATCCATCTCTCTTTTTATGTATTTATAGACCTTAGTCCGATCTAAGAAATTGTAGTATGCCGTTTATATGAATTTGAATAATCAGATAACTGCAGAAATCTAATAATGATCAGATTATTGAGTGCATGTAAACGCACTCACTGCTATATCTTACTTTATAAGAATGCGTTGCACTAAAAAGCTCAGTAACTTTCAGTGTGGCACTGTCATAGAATGTCATGTTTCTAACAAGCCAATTCATCAAATTTTTGTCATGCTAGAGCTGTCTCACTCAACTGTAAGTACTGAGAAGTGGAAATGTTTAGGAGCAACAACATCTCTGCCACCAAGTGGTAGACTACACAAGTTCAGATTGGAGCTGCTAAGTGCTGAAGTAATGTAAAAACTCTCACATCTTCTGAAAGCACAAGAATTGTTCCTCAAGAGCTGGTATAATGTTTTACCGTTTGCCAGTCCGATGGACAAATCTGGGTTTGGCAGATACTAGTGACGGATGTTTTGAATAAGTAATCTTTATCTTCTGATAATGCTAACAAGTAGTGTTTATTAACCAAAGAATAGTAATCTTCACACTGTAAAATAGGCCTTATCTTCAAATCCTGTTAGTAAAAGGGGCCTCCTGAAGCTTGTGAGAATCTGCTGTGTGAGCAAGAAGAACTATCCTTGAGATAAGAACCAGCCCTGGAACAGGTGAACTTACAATGCAACCAGTCAAAGCTAATGTCCTTGGGAACTGGAACGTTCTGGTACAGCTAAGATAAGATATTTTTTAAAAAACATATTTCATGTATGATTGGAAATAAGGGTTCCCAAATGCAGATGTGACGGTTCCCACGTACATGTAAGGTTTGGAAATAATGGGAACTAAGATGGTATAGAATTCCATAGAAAACGAGGGGCGATTACTTCATCGCCCCAAAACAGGATATAAAAGTGGGTGTTTTTGACATGTTCTTTGCATTGTGGTTGTCCGGGAACCATCTTGCCATCCAAGCTCAATAAAGCAGAAGGACTTTTCCTTCCTTCCACAAGAACTCAGCGACTGAATTCTTTTTATTTTACTTAGCTTTTTACACTTGGACATTTTTCTTATTTTGTTAGAGGAAGTTATATTGCGGTTAGCTCTTAAGGTAACAGTATTAGAACACGCTAGGAGAATCCATCTCTGTCCACGGGCCTTGAGCACAGAAGAGAGGCTTTTGGGCCCGACACTAGCTTAAATGCATAGTGCCAAAATCTTGCTTTTAATATAAATGTATTTGCTGTCCGCCATGGTTTCAGACACTAAGGTGCCACGTGGTCAAGGAGGAAAGTCAGAAGGGAAAGACAAGCGTCTACCAGCATCAGAACAAGAGGTAATGAAAAAGCAGAATGTCCAGAGTAAAAAAGCAGCAAGTCAGGTCATTTCCTCAGTCAACCTGATCACCACACAAGCATAATATTTCTAAAAGAAAATGTTAATGTTCTTTCTTGTCATCTGTTCTATGCATGATGGACATCCTCCCAGGAAAAGAGCAGCTTTGTACAGAAGGTGTGTTCATATCTGCCTACTGTGTTCTATGTTTTTATGCAATAATTGTAAAACTTAGGCTGGCTTTACACAGTGAAATTTTTATGCAACTGTAGTTCCTTGAAACCTACATGAAACATGATATGCATAAAGTTGCATAATGTAAAGCTTCCTGCAACTCACTTGAAACTCAGCCGCAACAGTTGCAAGTGTCTTTAGCTTCGTGGAACAAGTTTCATGAAACAGTCAGTCAAAACACCAATAACGCATCACATGCTCACGTCGAACTACGTGGTTTCATTGATGGAAATGCTTCAATGGACTAGAAAGTTAAACAGAAGATGGTTTATTGGGTGGGTAAAAAGGAGATTTTTCTGACCGACTCAGGGTGGTTGTTCATTTTGTCAGTTTTCTGAGCCATGGCAACAAACATGAGTTTCTCTAAGCTAATGTTTCTGTATCCAGCTGTGTTAACTAGTCAGCTAATGCTAACAGCTGTTTAAATGGCTGCTCATGCCAGCATTTATTCTTCTTTTGCCTGCAGGTATCGTGATTTATGTAGCTTGACTCATTTTCTCCTCTCTTGACGTCCTTTAATTTTACACGGAGCTCAGATTCAGGGATGAAAAATATTACAGAAGAACAGATGGAGATGCACTCCTTGATAAATGTGCTTCTAGGACAGGATAAGCAAGACATCAAGTAAGCTAGATAAATAAAAGACAGATAAAAGACAAACAATACAGTATATCAAAAATACGAGCTGCAAATTTGGCTGTCTAGTGGAGTAACCAAATGTATTGCATGCAACTAATTGTAAATTGCTCCATGTAACTGTCAAGTTGCATGGAAATAATGTTGCATACAACTTGCATCATGCAGCTTGTTGCATAAAAGTTTCACCTTGTAAAGCCAGCCTATAAAGTCAAAATCTATAATTTAATGTGATGTTTGGACCCATAGTTCCCCAAAGGAATCTGAATGTCCAGATAAAGTTTAGAGAATTCTGACCCTGAATGTTGGACAAGAAGCAATTCGAAAACAGTCACATATAATTCATTCAGTTACTCTGCTAGTTGACCAAATTAGCAGCTCATATTTTTTATACACCATATTGCTCTCCCTATAAAGTCATCTGAAAAGTGTAATTTACATATATGCAGCATTTTTTTTTATCATATTTGTAATTTTTTTCAGTTGTCATTGGCATTTTTTGTGCTATATCTGTTTTTTATCTATCTAGACTACTTGATGTCTCTCTCATCCTGTCCTAGATGAGTGCATCTCGGTCTCCCCTTCTGTACTGATTTTCCAAATAAATCTGAGCTCTTTATGAAATTAGGGAGCATTGAGCCAGAAGAAAATGAATCTAGCTATGTAGGTCACAATAACAGCAGGCTAAAGAAGAATCTTTTTATTTTCTTGTCCGTTGGTCTGGTGAAATCAGATGTTTGAAATGATGTCATTTGCTCTGATCATGTAATCCATTATCAGTGCTGTGATTTGCTGTTTCATGAAACTTGTTCCATAAGTTGAAACGCCAAAGTTTCAAATGAGTTGCAGGATTCAATTCAAGTGCAATTTATTTTCATTTAGGTTGAAAAGTGAAAAGCCAGCTTTAGATATAAAGGTCCACAAGATATGAGTATTGGCCAGGGATGCTATATGTTTCTTAAATAAACAGACTCTGTGTTTGTGTGTATAAGACAGGAGAGGTGGTCGAGGCACTGAGCCCTTTGCTGGATCCTGGCATACGGCACATCGATGGAAAAGTCATTCAGCCAGGAAACACAGCACTTGTCTCTCTGAACCTGTCAGGTCAGTCATACACAGCTCATACTAAAGCATGTCTGTGAGCATATTGAGTGTTTAATAAGACCCCTTTCTGTTCATCTAGGTAATAAACTGACAGAACAGTCACTTCAGAAGTTCTTGGCATCTGTGGTTGGCCAAGGTGAAGGAGGTCTCCTGCGTCTTTCTCTCAATGTGAGATTAATTTTCTTTGTTCTGCAATTGACCTATCCATGCTCCGCCCACAAATACATTCATCCATAGCTAGTGGACAAGCTTTTACATGAGCTGGCAAAAATGACATTTATACTGTTACGACCTGGTCTAGGGTCGGGCCGTAACAGAGAATGAGAGTGGGCTCTCTCCCCAGACCTGCTGCCAGACCAGACACCGGACACCGCTTAAACCAGAAAATGACAGGTTTTTTTTTTCAAAAGCTCAAACAAGTTGAGGTGATGGCATCAGGGTCAAGTAATTGCCAAAATAATAAACAAACACAACTAACAATTTCAAATCTAACTAAACTAAAATCAAAAGAAAACAAAAATACATAAGGCTACTCTAACTCCTTCCTTAAAACAGGAGAAAACGATAACCAAAACAAAATGGCACCCTTCCCCTACTTTTCCAATGTTCACACGAGTTTCACAAAATCTAACAAAGCTTTCACAAACTTACAAACTTTCAAACTTTACACACAAAGTGAAGCAAAGAGTGGTGTGAAGAGTGCCAGGCTGGTCTGAACAGATGTTGTTCTAGGTTAGGTCAAAGGGGAAAGAGCCCTGAACGTCTCCCAAGATGGTGGCTCGGCGACCACTTATACCTCAGTGCGCCCCCGTCTGGCCAATCATGTACCTGCACATAAGGGGACACAACAGGGAAAACACAGAATGCCAGCACAAGGCACACAAAGGGTATATTACAACCAGGGGTCGTAACAATACTAATGAAAAACTGTAGTACACAACTCAGTCTATGTCAAAATACAAAAATTACTCACATTAAATTCCTACCATGTTTATTTAGTTTATTTATGTTCACTACATAACGTGTCCAGTTTAAAATACTATGTTACCGAGCTGGACGACAGTATAGTATTTATTATTCAAAACTAGACAAGTTGTAAATGACTAATTGCCATCACACTAGCATTAGCTGGTTTACACAATTGAAAATGCACCTCGTCTATCCTATGAGTGACTTTTTACACATAGAAAATATTAGGGCTGCAACAAACAACTGTTTTCACAATCAGTTGTTGGTGCATTATAACTTGATTAATCAATACGTTGGTAAAACAAAAACTGCAGATTATAGTTTGGCAAAAACATTTCATTCAACAAAAGAAAAAGTACAGTGACTATTCTTTCTTTATAAAAAAACATAAGCACACCTAGCCTATCTTCTTTGTAATATTGTCATATCTTCTTAAAAGGAATTCTATCAAGGGCATCCACTCTGTTCAATTAAGGAACAGCACAACCTAATCTTACAATGCAGTCCAAAACAGACAGTTTTTTCTGTATTTCTCCTCTAACGATAAAGCAAAATTAAATTAAATAGCTTTGGTGTGATTGATAACATCATGTTATAAAATTTGATATTACAGATCAGTCCAGTCATCAGCTGGGTCAGATACAAAGACCTAAGACCTGATCAGTACATGTAAAACGCTGTGTTACGACCTGTCTAGAGGTTTGAGATGATCATAACAAAAAAAGACAAAAGAGAGCCAGTTGACATTTAAACAGGTCAAATCGTGTTATTTTCTTTTTATGCTGCTCTTTTGTGTACATGACACAGGAGAACGTCAGAGTGGGCATGCGCCAAAACAATAAACATAACCAGCCTAGCTAGAGATGCTAGAGAACTAACTTACCTATGCAAACATAAAGAAACAAAAGTACAGTCAGTCTTTCCTAACTCCCTAACTATACCAAAACAAGAGAAAACAAGATCAAAAGAAATGGCACCCACTCCTACAACCTGGTCGGCATAAGAGTGAACATTTACAGAGACAGATCATGAGCTTACAGTTTAACTGCAGAGATAACTGGGTAGGGAACAAGAGGTAAAGCTAAGCTATTCCATTTGGGAGGAGAGCAGACAATCGCTAGCAATAAAACAAACAAGCTGAGTTGCGGTTCTAAAAACAATCGCCCCAAGCCGCCATGGAGGAAAGCCTCGATGACATCCGGCACAGCCGTCGAAGATATACTCCATGCAATTTCAGCCAGCCAATCAGACGCACAAGTGGGCGGGTTCCTAATAAGCGAGAGTATGAGAGAGAGAGAGAGAGAGAAAGAAAGAAAGGGAAGCAAGCTAAACAAAACATACATCCTATGGACGTAACAGCTGATAAACATGTGCATGATGTCATCGTTTTCAAATATATACATTTGTATCAGTATATATTCAAATATATGTTTTTATCAGTCTGCATTCAAAGAGTTTTTTTTAAATCTCAGTGACCTAAAAACAGTCGTCAATTGATAACCTGATCAGTTGCCAACAATTCTTTTAGCAACGTTATCAATAATGTCAATTAGTTGTTGCAGGCCTACAAAATATACATAATTTGAAATTAATGCACTCCTTTATTTGAAGGTATTTTGAAAAACAAGAAATTAGCAGTGTAATTATCTCAATAAAATAATGAGATTTTTGACAACATACTGTAAAGCTTGAACAACTGATCAACAATAACTACAAAAGAATGTGTGTGGGAGCAGGAATAGGCTAATTTTAGCAGCATTTGCCACATTTATTTCATTCAACAATGGTAATTCAATTGCATTATCATTGATGTTATATACTGTAAAGCCTAATGTTGACAGGTTACCATCTGCATTGTGCTCCTGTTTTCATTCATCATGTTTCGAGAGCTAATCTGAACACTGCCAATTTGCTTTCCAGAGGAACTGCTTCCCCCCAGACTGTGAGACCTTCCTGAGGATTCAGGAAATTATGTCACTTAAGGATCCTCTAAACAGAATTAGCCCCTGTCAGGTGGATGATGAGCAGAGACAGGTAGCTTAGCATAGCAGAAAATATGACTTCATTCCAGTGTTTTTAGTTTTTTTTTCTCGTTATTTTCATTGGTCTCAGTCATAAATTATCAAGATAAACATTTCAAGAGATAATAAAAACCTCATTGACCCATTTTTGCTGTTGTTTTATTTATAACTCTTCTATTTATATGAATTTCAACAATCAACTAAAATAGAAAATGGCAATAAAATAAAGTATATATAAAATAAAACAAAAATTGTGTGGGGTTTTAACAAAAAGGGATATTTCAGTATTGGGGAACAAACATTCAATTTAGAAAATAAAATATGGTCTGAAGTTAAATAATACCTTTCTGTGATGAAGTAATCTTGTCTCATATCAGAAAACAGTTTTCTTTGTTCTGCAGCGGCAGCAGCTTCATATATTCTCTGTGTTCATGTACTTACACATGGTGTGTTTCAGGCCTTTTACCTCATTCGCTCCCAAAATGAGACTGAAACTGGATGAAATCACGTGCGTTTGTGAGGTCCTGCTGGTGTGGGTTCATGCCAGTTTTCTCTCTTTCAGTGATACACACGAAAGCTATTTGAGTGCTATCTTAGAGTACGATCTTTAGCCTGATAAACAAGGTTCTAGTACTGGAGTCCAGACTTGGTCTTGAGACTGTAAATAAATAGTCTTGTCTGTCTTAACAGCATTTGGATTCGGTCTTCTCTCAGTATTGGGGTAAAATGGACTCGGAAAATGTTCTGGAGGCCAGCTGGATGCAATGCCTCCGTCTGAAGTAACTCATACTGAACATCAACAAAACTTTTGAACAGAATAAAACAGTCCTTTCTGTAAATGTTTAAATAAAATATGTTCACTGCTGGTTGAGGATCTAATTGATCTTTACATGATGCCTTAAATATAATATTGTATGTATAGGTGGGACGGTGGCACACTGGGTAACACTGTCGTCTCAAAACAAGAAGGGCCTGGGTTCCATTCCCCGGCTGGGCGACCAGGGTCCTTTCTGTTTGGAGTCTGCATGTTCTTCCCGAGTCTGCGTGGGTAGTTTAGAAGATGTGTGTATATAGGAGGATGATTTGAGTGGACAAAGAATCTCCAAGGATCACAGATGGGGAATGGCGGACATTAGTTATGTTTTGGGGTCAAAACGTCTCCCAAACTACTGTCAAACACCACCTATATAACCACAAGTTGTTTGGGGGTGAAACGTTGGGTGAGCAGGAGACGAAGCAGGATGCAAGTGTGAGTTAGTTTGAGTCCATGGCAAAGATAGGAGAAATATGCAGGAAAACAAGAAAACAAACAAGAAATGAAACAGAGCTAAGGAGAAAAACTAAAACAACATCACATCAAAGCTACTAATGATCTAAGAACATCCCACAGGAAACGCACACAAGACTGCAACCAGGGGTATATATACACACTGAGAACACCAACAAAAAAAACACCTGGGAGTAATTACTGGGCAGGGTCTAAACACAAGGCACAGGTGAGGGGTGTGACAAAAAGGCAGAGCTGGAAACCAAAACAAACAAAGGCACATGGCAGATGTAAACAAAAGCACATGGCAGGCGTAAACAAAGGCACATGGCACAGGAAAACAATGACAGGATGTTACAGAGGGGTTGCCTGACGAAAGTCTCTGCTGTCAAAGACCAATAAACTCAAGCATTTACAGTTTGCCAAATGTTACTGGAACTTTCAGTGGGACTGTATGTTATGGTCAGATGAGACTAAAATAGAGAACACTGGAGGTGAGTTTGGCATGGACACAAAGATAGCCATGCCGAAAAGTAAATCAACACCTGCCTCAGCCAGGAAGCTTGAACTGGGTCCTAGTTTGGATGTTCCAGCAGGACAATGATCCAAAAATGTCTCAAAATCAACACAACAATAGTCTACTGACCACTAAATTAACGTTTTGCCAAGGTCGCCTTGCCGTGTGTCCTCCAGTCTCATTGAACACTATAGGAGAAGACTCAGAGCTGTTATCTTTGCAAAAGGAGGCTGCATAAAGTATTAAATAAAGGGGTGCCAACAATTGTGGCACACACAGATTTGAGGAAAACATGTATTTCATGGTAAGAGATAGGGTTCATGCTTCTTTGTTTTGCTCTTCATTGCAACTTTTATAAAATTATAAATATAGTTATTATATTTATAAAAGAAAAAGTCATTTAAGACATTTTTCTTTTTAAAGATATTTTTCTATCCATGAAATATTGTAGGAACTACAGCTGTAAGCTGTCTGGTCTCAGCTCCTCAGCTCTGGTACCAGAGGGCAGCCAGGCTGATCCAGGTCATAAACCCAAGAGGAGTGTGCTTCCCTCACAAGGTTTGCTGCTGTTATGTTCCCAGACCAGATTTCTTCTAAAAGCTAAGGTGCTAAAAAGAAGGTCTTATTAAATGTGAACACATGGGATGATTATCTGTGATACACCAGCAGGGGTGTCAGGCTTGGGGTAATGGTGGACCTAACTAACCAGGGTCCTACATGAATGGGGAGCCATCCAAAGGTCTTGCAAATAAATTCATTTTGGCTTCTAATTTCGCTAATTTTGATATTTTCTGTTATTGTAGAAATAAATAATACCTTCCATAGTAAGTTCAGTTTATCTCCATGTTGTTTCCTTTATCTGCTTATTGGCCTGTTTCCTGCTCCCCCCAAAAGCAAAAAAATGGTTTGATCCTCTGGTGCGCAGATAATGCAACTAAAGAGAGCAGACAGTGGCCAGTTCTGAAACCAAAATGAAACCAAAATCAGGATTTCAGAAGTGCAAGGAGCACAGAGAGCGAGAGAGAAAGCTGAAATTGGGCAGGCAGACAACTGCTGATGAGTTTCTGCCAGAAAAAACGGTGAGCCTAAAGTGCCAAACAGTAAATAAGCTACAGTAAAGTAAGCTGGCTTGCTTACTAGCGGTCAGCTAGTTAGCAGAGATTCATACTAAGCGCAAGCTGAAAAAAAGCAGGATTTGATTTAATGCAGCTAATAGGTAATGTAACAGAGAGTGTGTATGTGAACATAACCCAGCAAAGTTCAGCCTCAGCCCAGCAGCTAACCTGCAAAACACACACTGTTAGCTCCAGGAGCAGCAGCAGAGAGATAGAGCAGCACTGATGTAGCTGAAGACAAGGTGAGCTTAGCAAAGCAGCTAACAGGTGGTCCAGCTTCCAAGCAACCATTTACTGGGCAGTTTCAGTGAAAATTACAGGAAAAGTATTTAAAGTAAATAACCGTCCGATGTTAGATGTTAGTTTACAGTGAAACACAGAGATGTGTGGTCACGAGCCGGAGACTTTGCACTACAACATCTGCGTTTGAGTGGGCATGTGCCAAGGAACTACACATCACTGTCAAGAGAATTTTTCTGCCCTAAAGTGGGGGAACTGTGTGTTTGTTTGTGTGTCTATGTATGCTTTGCTTGCTGTTATTGGGAACTGTAAATTCAATATTATTATTATTATTATTATTCTTGCCTGAATAGACTTTACCTTTAGATTTCTAATATTTCTAATTTCTCATATTACCTTCTTTCAGTTTATCTTACTTATGCTCTGGCTTTTTTTTTCTTTTTCTATTTATATCCTGTCTTTGTGAATGTTTTATCGATGTCTATGTATCTTGTGTCACAGAAGTTCTAATAGATGAGAAAAAAGTTCAAATTTGAGTGATCAAATCTCCATCAGACATTGAGAAAATGAATACTATCTCAGTGGTCTTGGGCTATTAGGAAGATATCACAGTGCTTCCAGCGCTCACACTGTTCTTACAGGGAACAGGAGGGGTTGATCTGACTGGGTGTTGCTGCAGCACACCTAACCGTGCCTTTTGATAATGTTTTCCCTCTAAGTTTAAACTGTTTACAGTTGCGCTGCTCTGCACTGGGTTACAGGCTGTGCTGCCAGTCCAAAAAAAAAGCTAAGAATATACAAACATATATTACTGTAAAAGTGCTGTAGAAATAGCCTGTCTGCATTGACCACAAAAATAGAGCCCTGAGTGTGAAATTTCAAAACCATTCCAACACCTCACAAAGGTGGAGCTCATCAACACAGACAGACAACAAGACTGTCATTAACTCATGGGTGTAACGTAAGTTAGCATGGCTGACAGGTCTAATTAAGCATGTAGATGTGTGTCGCATCTGTGGAGGAGACTCTTGCAAAGGAAAAACATTAAACCAGACCATCCTTTAGCTATAATATATTGTGACTTTAGCTCTGACACTTTGCACCTCTTAGCAATCACACACTATATTGTCCACTCCTGGTGGCCACTTATGATGTTTGTGTGGTTTTATGTACCGAAACCTTTTTCCCCCAACCCTTTTCTCTCCCTTTGAATTAAACATGCTGTTTGTGTAACTGTGCCTTTAAGGCTGACATAGGTAAACCTCTGTTCTGATAGACTGCCCTGTATTGTGCCTCATTCAGAAATCAGTCCAGGCCAAAACACTCTATAGAACTTCACAATAGGCTAATTTATGTAAACATGCTTGTTTTCATGACATCACAAAAACAGTTATCTGAAATGGGCTGTCTTTGCAGATCAGTTTTCATTAAATGGACTGTATGGACTGAAAAGTGAACAGTTTGAAACTTTAACAATGTTTACATACCACATCAAACTTCCTTCCATTATTACTTCCATTAGCCTTTAAATACTGTAGCATTCGGCAAATTGTCACCATCACAGCACAGAGTGAGCATGAAGACTGGAGGTAGTCATAATAATGAATAAATATGATCTGCTGTCTTATAATAATGAGATTCTATCTCATAATTATGATTTAATATCTCAAGATTGTGTCTTACAATCTCATGATTATGTCTTTCTTTCTCATAGTTATAGAAAACTTTCTCTTTATTATGATATTATGAGAAATGGCTATATTTTCCTCTAGTGGCGGAAACGGCCTTCCTTTTGCTACATAGACGGTCCAGTTCAGGTGTGTTGTCTGAACGGGGATTCAGCCGGGTTCAGTCCGGTTCACTGTGGGACTGTTCGGCGATTTCTTCTCCAATATTTTTTAAATTAACCTGTAAAATGTGCAGTTGAAACTTTTTAAATTCAATAAAAGGATTTACACATCAACAAAACATGCAGTGATTCAGTAGTGTTGATAGGCATGTCCTAAAAACATTTAAAAAAACAAAGAGGAGTAAAAACACCAACAGAAACTGAACAGTAAAAATTAAAGATGTTTTCCCCAAAATGCTGTTATTAAAGTCCACTCTCTCTCTCTCTCTCTCTCTCTCTCTCTCTCTCTCTCTCTGTCTCTCTCTCTCTCTCTCTCTCAGTGTCGCGCCGCGCGCTCTTTCTCCGTCTCTCTCTCAATCTCTCTCTCTCTCTCTCTCTCTCTCTCTCTCTCTCTCTCTCTCTCTCTCAGTGTCGCGCCGCGCGCTCTTTCTCCGTCTCTCTGTCTCTCTCTCAATCTCTCTCTCTCTCTCTCTCTCTCTCTCTCTCTCTCTCTCTCTCTCTCTCTCTGTCTGTCTGTCTGTCTATCTCTCTGTCTCTCTTTCTCCGTCTCTGGTTAAAAATTATTCAGAGCTACAGCCCCGGAAGTCCGAGCCAGGCGACGGCCCCTTGGCACACACAACTTTGGACATCCACAAAACTAACAGAATTTCGCGCCGTGTCCCCTCGTGAGACCCGTAGTTCTGAGCCTCTCGGCGGGTGGAGTCTGAACACGCTGCTGAGCCTTCTCCCTACTCACTCCCCCTTCTGCGGACTCCTTCACTACCATCTTACATTCAAGGTACTTTGCCCCATTTAACTGCGTCTACTACACAACACACATAATGCGCGAATAAGATGTCCGGCTCACTGATTAGACGAAGCTGCTCAGGGCTGATAAACGGGGGTCTTGTTCCCGAGGGGAAGTGTGCAGGGTCGTAACTTGCTGAATGGCACGTACCCTAAGGCGGCAGCGTTGGGCTCAGAATTCCGCCAAAACGCGACATCCGCCGAGTGTTTAGATGCAGTTTTGGTAAGAGCAGATTCTGCGCCTCTGCTTGTAGCATCGCTGCGGACTTTTGATCACTTTCTGAGCAGCTCAGTGTGTGAAGGTCTGCGCTGAAGGTACACATTTACTTCTGTGACCTCTTAAACTAGCAAAACAGGCTAGTTAGCCAGTTAGCTGTTCCATGTGTGGGTCTTTTGTTGAGCGAGGCAGCGCAGGTTGGCTGTTGTGATTAATATAAACTGTAACAGAACATGAATGTCTCTATTTAGCCTGGCCCGTTTCTGATGTGTATAGTTTAAACATATCAGCCGTTTTCCCGTCATGATATTACTTGAGCCGCGATGTTTAAATGATGGTGCGTGTGATGGAAATGCACAGATTTGATGTGTTTAAAAGCGCGGCTTTAAGGGGAACATAGGCTTTTAACGCGTTTTCTCATGTACTCCAGTCAGTCTTTCAGACTGTCAGTCTTTTAGTCAGTCTGTCACTCTTTCAGTCAGTCAGTCTCTTTCAGCCAGTCATTCTGTCAGTCAGTTAACTAGTCATTCAGTCTTTGTCATTCTGTCAGTCTTTCAGACATTCAGTCATTTAGTCAGGTCTTAGTTTGTTGTTAGGTGTCAGCTGACTGAAGGAAAGAGGTGTTCTTCATTATAAATCTCAGCAGCCCTCTCAAATTAAACTTTAACTTGCTCAGATTTTGCCTGCTGCCCTTAACCTGTCTGGGTTTCTGCCCTGTGGCAGCACAGCAATGAAGAGTGACGAGGAGAAGGAGGAGCTGAACATGACTGAGGAGGAGCTGCAGCGCTGGGTGCAGGCGGAGGTGAACCGGGATGAGCAGCTGGTGCGGAGGCGGGCACAGCTGGCCCAGGTGGAGGACTGGGTGAAGCGTAAAGAGAGGGAGGCCAGCTACACCCGCCTGCTCTACAGCAACGCCTGCGAGTAAGTGCCTTCAGCTTTAAGCGGGCTGATTCCATTGCTTGTAAACAGGGATGTGGTTGAGGCCTAAAAGCAACTGATTGTATTTTGTGGGTTAGGTCAGTTCTTTTGTCAGTGTAAGTGCTGATCTCCCTGCCTATGTAACTGTATTTGTCAGGTTGTGTAAGGTGAATAAATGATGAAAAAACTTTTCATTGGGATACTTACAGGGCAGTAAAGCACTGCTTGTTACTTTTCTATGGTCCTGGCCCATGGCGGGACTAGTCTGGCAAATTTGGGGCATGTTATGTTGGAAAAGACATTTATCCAGATTAATCTGGCCAATGTTATACTTTTTATACGGGGTAGTATAAGATAAAAAAAGAACAGCAATGCAAAAACCTGTATATTTGTACAAGATTGTTGTCTCCAGTGGTAGACAATATGTTGAAATTTTACCGTGACTGCTTTTGTTACTGTGATAATACACTTTTGGATATGACAACAAAATGCACGATGGATTTGTTATCATACTGGACAGTACCACATAATTGCTGTGCCTGTCATCATTAAGCATTCCAAAGCTCAAGTGCCTTGTTCTATAAGGCTGTGGAGGACTGTGTGACACTTTATGCTCTTGACAGTCTTCGAGGCCACTAGGGGTGCGGGAAAAACTCGATTCTTAGATGCATCGCGATGCGGACGTGAACGATTCTGAATCGATTCATAAATGTCAAAAACCGATTTTCTAAATATTTAATTTAAAACGTAATGTTGACGGAACGCAAAAGGCGGAACTGGAAGTGGGTTAGTGCAGCGCCCGGATAGTCTCTGGCGGCACATAACAAAACCACTACTGGATGAGTGAGAAATCCGACCAGCTCCCTCTGCATTAAAAGCCAGGTTAGATCAGGAGTCACAACCCAAATGTTAAAAAGAGACATTTTGTCCTTTCAACAAAGTCAAATCACCTTGGGAGCCACAACATTTAATGTCCAGTATGTCTCAGTATGTGTTAATGTCGTAGTATGGGCTAAAAATATAAACGAAAACGCAGATTTACTTTGCTCTGCTTTAAGCTTCAGCTATAGCCGCTTTCCTCCCATCTCCGCCAGAAAACTTTTCTTCAAAACTAGAAGAGTTTCTTGTGAAATGTCTCAGCATCCGGCTGTTGTACGAGGCTGAAGTCGCTTCTCGTTCTGATTTTCCCGTTCCACCTTAAATTCTGCCTTAGACGCCGAATGTAACTGAGACACCATTTAAGGTGGAACGGGAAAATACGAAAGGGAAGCGAGTTCATTTTTGCAACTTTTTAGAGAAAGACAGTCTCTTGTTGCTTTTTTAACCAACCGCGCTGCTTATATATGCGAATAAGTCCTCCAAATGTTTGTCTTAATCTCTGTTTTTTCGTTCGCTACTGGCGAGGCCAGACCTCGGGGCTATGTGACCTGCTGTCTGCTGTCTGTTCTCAGTCGTTGAGAACCAGGGCTTTCGCGCTATGCTGCACACTTTGGAGCCGAGATTCAGCGTCCAGTCTCGAAAATACCCCCCCTACACACACACTCTCTACAACGAGACCAAAACCGAAGTTATAAAATCACTAAAGAAAACGGGAAGGATGGCTGTAACGCGCAGCGTGGACACCCATTACCACTGGATCTTATTTCAGGGTAACAGCGCATTTTATCGCAGATGAGTGGCAGCAGCGTCTCTGAATGAGAGCCTTCTAGTTCTCTTGCCACATCACTTCCATTTGATTTATTAATAAAAGATATTTTAGATATTTAAAGCAAAGTATATGTAATGATCCATAATGCATTTACATTATGGATCATTACAAATACTTTGCTTTAAAACTACCAAGTCCTCAGACAGTAGGAAGATGGAAATCCTGTATAGAAGAAAAAAAGATGCATCGAGATGCATTGATAATCGTTTTATAATCGCATCGCAGCCCTCTGAGTCGTAATCGAATCGAATCGTGAGGTGCCTAAAGATTCCCACCCCTAGAGGCCACTGTGATTTCCACTACAACAATTAAATCGAGCACAATTTTTTTTGGATCAGGTCGGTTCTCGAGTGCGAGTCGGTGATGAAGGGACTGTATGGAATGCTGGGATTGGAATATCGAGACACAGACTCGGAGGAGGAAGAAGGGGCCAAACCAAAAGAGAACATTATTCAGATCGCAGATGATGATGATGGAGAGGATGAGTGTGGTGATGATGTCTCTGCTGATGGGGATGATGATTATGTTGTCATTGATTTGGGTGGTAAGAGATAGCAGGGTTTCCGTTTTTTCCACAAGCAATGTTTTGTTTTTCACTATTACAAACATTTGTTTTCATAAAATTGAAGTCGCTCTTTGTCTCTCTCACATACTTTTTCTTTATCTCCGTTGAACCTGCTGCACTTTAGCTGCTGTTCCAGATTCATCATCCGAGGTCAAGCCAAAGGTGAGAGGCTCTACCCCCAACTCTGATCGCTGCTTACTCAAAAATGCAGTTATCTAATCTTATCTTATCTAAATGTCTTTGTGAAATGTTTTTTTTTTTCACAGGTTGAGCCTTCTGAGACTTCTGTACAGGTCCTAGGTCAAACAGACAAAAAGATTAAGGCTGTTAACACTGTGGATTTAGTAACAATGTTGGAAACTAGCCCTTCTAGAAGTCCAGAACCATCCATTATTTCCTTACCAATCAAAAAGGACAGAGAGTCCCCTGTACCCATTAGTAGTAACCCATCTCCTGATGTCCTGCCTTCCACATCTTTCAGACCTATCAGTCCACCATTAAAGAGGGAAAATAGCCCTGCTAGAAATTCAGAATCTTGCAACAGTTCCTTACCAACCATCAAGACCAGAGATTCCCCTGTACCTATTAGTAGTCCATCGCTCAGTGACCTACCTCCCACATCCTTCACACCTATCCACTTGCCAACAAAGAGGGAAAGGAGCCCGTCTAGAAGTCCAGAACCATCGATCTATTCATTGCCAACCATTAAAACCAGAAAATCTCCTGTACCGGTTAGTTGTACTTCATCACCTGATGTCTTGTCTTTTGGAACCTTCAAACCTGTGGCTTCACCAACAAAGAAGGAAATTAGCCCTTCTGGAAGTCCAGAACCATCCAACAATTTATTATCAACCATCAAGACCAGAGAATCCCCTCTACCCATTAGTAGTGTTTCATCACCTGATGTCCTAAGTCCTCTGTGTACTCCCATAAGCACCCCTACACCCAGTTACACAGCTGAATCCTCTCCATTGACCACAGCTCCACCCACACCTTCTGTACCGGTGAACAATGTAGAAACTATAGCCAAAGAAACATCTGTTTCTACAGAACAGAATAGTGAAGCCCCAGCACCGCCTGAGGCATCCAGCAAAACATCTGCATCTTCAACAAAATCTTCTCTTGCTCTCACATCTTCAAACAAGGTTTCAGTCAACCAAAAGCAAGTCTCTAGTGGTACAAGCTCCACTACACCGTCAAACTCCGCTGGTGAAACCAGTGAAAAGGCCAAGAGTGCCAGTGTGACACACGTCACCAAGCCTTCAAGCTCTGTAACTTCTAGCACCACAACACACTCCACATCCACTGCTAAAGCAAACACCACGAGCACTACAGCCAGCACTGCAGCTCCAAGTACAACAACTTCTACCAAGCCTTCAGATGCTAAAGAAGGTTAGGTGTTTTGTCTTTGTTGCTTTTCTCCTTTATGTTGAACTGTTTAAGCCGTCTAAGTTTCACACTGTTCTTCTCCATCACTGTTCTCCTCAGCGTCCCAGGCTCAGCCCGCCCGAGTTCAGAAAGAGGTGGAGCTGAAGGTTGACATGAATGTTTTTGGAAGGCGGAGGACTAAAACATGGCATCAGGGCACCATTTTAGAAATCAAATCAACAGGTAACAAAAACAACAGAAAAATAGATGGTTCATTTGATGAATTAAGAATATACCTAGAATATGAATTTTCTTCTAGGTACATTCTTTAAGATGAGTTTTTAGGATGCAAAATGAGAACCTTTTCTTATTGCAGTGGCTTTGGTTAAGCATTAGTCTAAATAGTTTTGCTGGAGCCGAGTTAACCTTTTCTGTTTTTCTTTCTCTGTTTGTCTCAGCGTCTGGGAACAGGTATAAGGTCAAATTTGAAGGGGATAAAGGGAAGAGTGTTTTATCCGGTCATCACCTGGCGTGTGTGAACTGTCCTATGCTAAAGGATCTGTTTGTTGGTTGTCGAGTTGTGGCCCGCTACAAAGAGGACGACCAGTCTTGGTTGCATGCTGCTATTATAACAGAGATGCCAGATCGCAAGAACCGTATGAGGTGTGTGTGTTCTCATCTTTATTTGCTTCTTTACTCTGTAGTTTGACTGGTTTGGGCAGGTAGAAGTATGTTTATCATGTTCAGTGTTTGTCATGTTTAGGATCATCAGTGTCCCATCATGTTTGGTGTTTTTCATGTGTAAGTACTAGAAATGTTGGTCTTTAGACAAAAATTATGGTTATAAACGGGCAGTTTTACACATTATCATGAGCACCCTCAGCACCTCCAGGTTAAAAATAATAAAACGTTCTGAATTGTATAATGATTTGAATGTAGCAAAGGCACGTGTGCTTGTTTTAGAGTGGAGTTGGTATTTTTACATTCTATTTATGTTTTTTCAAAACCTCCAGTAACTTTTGATTATTGTCAACTGAATAGCTTCCCACAAAAACTGTGGCTTTGCGGGTGTGTCACTAAAACACAAGCAGGTTGAGGTGCGAAGAGTATATGCTAAATTATAAGCCAGTTCTTAACCCCATTAAAAAATCTAACTTAAGGACATAGTGTTAAATCTCACAAAATGACTGTGGGCGTGACGCAGTTACCACACCTCATATGAACAATCTGATTGGTCAGCACTCAGTTAATTTGCATAAAGTTTGTCCAGAACAAGACAGCAATGTAATAATCTACAGTGATCTGATGTGTTAGTAATATGTATATATTGTTGTCTCTTGCCTAATTATAGCATGTTATGACATGTTCTGTTTGATGTGAATTTTATGTAAAAAATCAAATGAAGAAACACATCATTTTGCATGACGTCATCGTTCAAGGCACATTTCAGCACCCCCAACTTAAAACACCTTCCCACATCCCTGATGATTGTTGTGATAGATTCTTATTATTTAAAGGTTTTAAAGCATGAAAAAAAGCAAAGACAAAAGCAAAGAAGAAAAAAGTATGTAAAATGTAAATAAATACGTTTATAAATTTAGTAGTTTTGACCAATAGAGTCTGGCTTCAGACATACACTCTCAGCCAGATGCACTCTCAGCCCCGGTGACGTCATGTGCACGTGCACTCTCTGCCACAATAGCAGAAACAGCCCAACGGCACGGTAACGTTTGGCTGCTGCTGCTGCTTAGCGATATCATCACTTAATCCATTTTTTGTCCATAACACAGCTAGAGAGTTACATTTAATGTACCTCCCTGTTGAAAAAAAATCATAGAACCCATTAAAAGTGTCTGTTGGTCCTGGTGGTTTTCAGTAGTCGCTAGTGGTATTCTGTGTTTTCCTGATGGGTTGATATCACAGTGTAAAGGATTCTGGTCATTTAATCAGGTGTTTTGAGACTGATTCCAGACAAATTTGATTGTTTCCCAATGGCCTCTAACGACAACCATCAAGCCAATTCCCGTTAGGAAGCAAAACCGTCAGGTTTTATTCGTAACAGCCCTGCAAACACAGCTACGTTGTGATAACGTACTGTTTTGGTGCCCACAACGCTGTCTGCTTGGTGCCCTCTACATTGTCACAACGTTGAAATGTAATTCCTCAGAAAGTTATGAACGTTGTCTGACAGCTTTCTAGGAGGTTGTGACGTTGACGAGACAGCAAAACTAATCAGTGCCACATTGACTATTTTGTCACAACCTCCTAGAATCCTTAATAAGTTCTATTTTAATCGGTATTACAGTTTTTAATAACCGGTTCTAATCGTCTTCAGCATTGCTTTCATGAGTTTCAGTAGCCTTTTTGTTTTTTCTGCGAATAAACCCGACATTCATGTCTTATCGTCATGGTACGTTTTATTTTGAAAGTTTCCATATTTAATTACCTTATTATCAGCATGGCAACGTTAATATATGTTCAGTGTAACTCTTGTTGCCCAACAGTACATGGTTCGCTGTTTTCCTTCATAAAACCGACAAAAAACACTGTCGTGGCAGAGTGTGCACTGACATCATCAATAGGCTGGCGGCGCATGTAGGCTGAGAGTGCATGTCTGCAGCCCTCTCAGTTTTGAAGACTAGGGGGAGAATTAGACTTCCATTCCCTCAAAATGATCATTTTTATTAACATATCTATCTGAGAAATATGTGTTTCATAATATTACCAGTATTTCTAGAACAATAATCAATGATGTGTTTAAAAAAAGATCAATTACCAAGAGGCTGTAAGCAACAACATGCAGTGTGTAATAACTGCATAAATTGCTAAACAAAATAATGATATCTTTCCAAGTGAAATCACCAATGGATTAGTCTTATTTCATTGGCAGATCATTTTGCTTGCATTATTTCTTGAAACAAGCAAAATTGCCTTGCGTTTTTTTTTAAACTAAATTAACTGCCAATAGAATAAGAAATTTCTCTAGGTAAAATTACTTTAACCACATAAGTATTTTATAAAAAGTTTTATAATCTTACTGTAACAACAATCAAAATAATTTATTTATTAACTTTATTTTTAAAAATTTTTTTCTTCCTGTACACATTGTTTTTCACAGCCACTGTTTTGCTGTTGCATGAAGTATTGTCTACCCTTGATGTTTCAGGTTCATGGTGTTTTTTGACGATGGCCGCGCAGCCTACGTTTCCCTCCCAGACCTTCATCTGGTTTGCAAACCATGTAAGGGACAGACATCATTTTACCTCTTTTCCTTTTGTATTTCTAACCCACTCCTGCCAGTTTTTCTCACTAACTCTGTTGTCTCCACAGTGAAGAATATATATGAGGACATAGAGGACGATGGGCCTCGTATAGAGGTGGAGGAATATCTAAAGGCGTATCCAAATCCCATCTTTGTGGTGGTGCGGGTAGGGCAGGAGAGCAAGGCAGAGCGTGATGGCAAATGGGAAGACTGCACCATCTCTCAGGTGGATGCCAGCTTGGTTCAGATCTGCTACACGGTAAGAGGCTGGCTTTAGGCTGGATATTGCTATTGAAGTTTTCATCATGGTTGATATGATCGATAGGAGAATTTTGCCAAAAGAAATTTTGAGGAGGGTGAAAAACTGACGTGGCCAATCCCGATGGCAATAAAATCACAGAGGAGTACCTGTAAAAGAGGAGGACCCCACATAAATTGAATCATGTCTGAATAGGGATTAACTGCTTCAAACTACCTGAATAATTTTGAACCAATGAAACAAACAAACTTTGTGATTGAAATCCTATGATTAAAGCATTTTGTGTTGAAAGGCTCATTGTCACAGTATGCAGAGTGTCTGAGCCTGACTAATTGAAAAACAAGAAATTCTTGTTTTCAAGTTTCAAGAGGTGTGCTTTCAGTGTTGCTCAGTTTATTACTGTTGTTCTGGGTGATGCCAGTGTCTGTCTGTAATGAAGATAAATCTGTCTGTGGGTTTGTTTCTCATTTCAGAAAGACAAAGAAAAGGAGTGGTTTTATAAGGGCTCAAATCGACTGGACCACATCCAAAGAATTAAAAAGCGAATGGCCGGGCAGAAAACGGAACAGCCTTCAAACAAAGGTTGTGTATATGTTTGTGTATAAACACGGTTGGGATGTATTGGGAATACATATTCAGAATCCAAAATTATACATTTATTTTCAGTCCAAGTTACATTTTGTAAAGGCAGTATTCAGAATATAGTTACTTTTAAAATTTCTTTAGGAGAATACTTTTAGAACAAATACAATAAGAAAGCATACAGTATTCAGAAGAAATACCATCAGTGCTTGTTAATTAACTATTTTAGAATCTGTGCACATGTAGCAAACTCTAAAGAGGACCTCAATTAACACCTTTTCAAACACTGCAGTTCTTGCTAAAGCCTGAGTAGACTGATAAACCAATGTGATGAGTCTGTTATTAATCTCACTATTACTGAACTCTTTTAAATGAAGGATAAAACTAGTAATCTTTTCAGTAATGGACATGTTTGCAAGTGATAAGTTTGGTATCGGTGTTGTACTCTTGCTCAGGGGTTTGTGGTAGCATCAGTGGACTGATGAAGGAGGGAAAAAAAAAAAAGTGTGTGTGTATATATATATATATATATATATATATATATATATATATATATATATATATATATATATATATATATATATATATAATTTTAATGATGATAAGGGATTTTTCATGAAACATATTAACAGAAAACTGCCAACCAGTAACAGCTAGGAACAGTATAAAATAAGTGAAAAAGGTTTTCCCAATGTGCCTTATAAAGATGTATTCTAAATATGTTTTTTTTTTGTTTTTTGTTTTTTTTTATGTAAGAGAATGCATTACTGAATATACTTGGACAGTGCATTCAATATTCAGCCATCACTACTTTTTCAAAGTATTTTACCCAAACATACTCTTTTCTCAGACGTTGTTCTTTCTCTCCCTCTCTCTATGTCCATAATTCAGTCGTAAGTGTCACAAATCAGGGGAGCACAACAACTACTGCAGCCACTACCACTACTGCATCTTCCACCACCACCACTGCAGCCCCCGCCACTACTGCAACTGCCACCACAGCTGCCAACGCCACCAGTAAAACCACCTCATCAAGAGTAACCACACAACCTGTTGCCCTAAGACCTTCCACTCCTAAAAGTGTCACAAGGACAGCTGCCAAACCAATATCACAGCCTAAGATCGTCCTTCACAGAATTAATAATCCTGAAGCTTACTTGTCAACTGTTGCTGTATCAAAAGCCACCTTACCCACAGAACCCATAGTAACCAGTCCATCTAACAAAGGGTGAGTTTTTAGACTGACGTTTTTATCTCGTTTTTTTAAATTATTTTTTTTTCTACACCGTTTGAGTACAGCAGCATCCTTTACATTATGAGGAAATTTCGTGATGTATTGACCAAGGGAAATGGTCCAAAATTGCTTGGAAAAAATCCAATTTGCATTAAAAGTAAATAATGTGTTTGACATTTCCTGTTATCCCATTTTGTAGATATTTTTTTGTTTTGTTTTTATGTAATTTTATGTATGATATGCATTACAAATCAGGTGGAAAACTCTTCTCTCCAAAAAATCGCTCTCTGTCTTTCTCTAGTATTTTACTGAAATGCTAGTCCTACCAAAATTTGCTCAACAGCTCAACAGCCTAAACGGGAGATTTGTATATGTTGGCCCAGGATTCATGGGTGATGCAACTACCTAAAGCCCTATTTGGAGGGGATTAGTATTTCATGGGCAGGCGGAGTCATGCCAGTTTACCAGAGGACGTCTGTAATGTTTGAAATAACTGATTCGCCTGGGATAAGAAATCTTAGTATAAATGAAAGACGTAAATTCTCCCACCACCTTTACTCCAGAAAAGAGTAGAAAACGTCCAAACATTTAATTTAGCCATCATTTCCTTTGTCCTATTTACTTTGCTGTCTGAAGTCAGTGCAGTGTGTCATTAGTGTCCTCACTATCTAGGGAATTTACAGAAAACAGTCAACTTTATCACATAAAATCACCACGTGTGTTTTGTGCCTTGATCGTGTCTGCATAAACACCGTTGCAGACACAGCAATGCTTGGACATTTTTCTCGGCCCAGAGTGGAATTAAGTCCGCTATTTAGTGCTCTGACACATTTCTGCTCTCGTATTTGTATACGAATAATGAAAATGCGTTCCATTTACATTTATGTTAAATGAGGTCAAGATCCGTCTCTGACCACCTGGGAATGTGGTTTCAGTGGTCCAATCCACTAATGCCTCCTAGGGGTGTTATCTGGATTTTTAAATGTGAAATCTGATCGTGATCCAATCACAACAATGTCGATGCTAAGTGTAAACAGGCTCATAATGTCACATCCATACCCAACTGCACTCCTCCAGGTGGGTTTAACTGCCCAGTGTCATTGAGCAACAGCTCAAAAAGTTGCAATGATGGGTTACATGTCACCAATGAAGGATGTCTTTACCTAGAATTGGCAGTCACTAATGGTGCCAGTTTCCTAGTTAAATAGATGTGGTAAACCTCTACGTTCCATAGAGTTAAGTTCCACTCCAAATTTTTTTTCTTAGATACCACATGAACACAGTTGTCCAAGCTGGTGAACACCCCTCCCCACACACACACACACACTCACACACACAGTCACTGTGCAGTGCTAGCCAATGTGAGCTTCTTTTTGGTGTAACAGTGTTGGCAACTAGTGTTCTCCTCTAAGTGTGTTGAGCTGCACAGTGACATTGCATTAGTGGCAATTTGTAAAGATTGGTTGGCATTATGTGTCTCAGAAGAGGCACTAGTGTTCGCTTTCCCAGCTTGGTAGCATTGTGTGAAAGGGGGGAGATCTATCTAGCAGGTGGGAATTGACTATGACTAAATGCAAAATGATATTTTTGTTATGCTGGTGTGGCAGTTTTGCCTCCCAAATGCACCTTAACACTAAAACATTTATGTTGATCCTGTCTCTCAACAGTACAAAACGTCCTGCAGAGGTAGACTTTTACCAGAACGTTCCTCCCCCGGTCGTTGAGCCTCGGCTGAAGTATGTGCCTCACCGCTGCTGCCCAACCTGTCTGGATCAGGTGAGGCCAACACAAAAGGACCAATACCGCAGCCAGAACCCTCTGCTCATCCCTCTTCTTTATGGTTTTCGCCGAATGACAGGTAGAAAACGCCTGGAGGGCAAGGTGAGTGATGGGAAATTTTAATCTTTTTCTTTTTTGTTAAAAGAAGGGTTTACCATAATTTTATGTATTTACTTCCACAATTTGCCAATTGATGAAGGTAACTAAAGCTTCTTTTGTTTTGCATTGGAGCAAAGAGGCTAATGTAGATAACAAGTAAAGAAAGCTAATTAGCACCAGTTCAAAGCTAAAGGAGCAGACAACAAACATGTCCTGGCTGATTCTTGACAAAAGTATGTGGATACCTGACTGTCACACCACAGTAAGTTTTAAATTTAAAACCATTACTATGGAGGTGCCCCCCACCCCTTTTGCAGCTGTAACAGCCTTTACTGCATAGGCTTTCCACAACATTTTGGAGTGTGTCTGCGAGAATTTGTGCCCATTTGAACCTTGCTTTATGCACAGGGGCACAGTCAAGCTGGAACAGAAAAGGGCCTTCCCCAAACTGTTGTCACAAAGTTGGAAGCGTATAATTATCTAAAATGTCTTTGTATGTTGTAGTATTAACATTACCCTTCAATGCAAATAAGGGGCTGAGCCCAACCCCTATAAAACATCCTCAAACCGTAATCCCTCCTGCCCCTCTGCTGGAACTAAACAATCTGGTAGGTAACATTTTCTTGGCATTCACCAAACCCAGATTTGTCTATCAGACTGAAGCGTGATTGATCACTCTCCAGAGAAACTCATTACACAAAGCTCCCAATGCACAGGTCTTGTGCTGATGTTACTTCTAGAGGCAGTTTAGAGCTCTGTAGTGAGTGTTGCAACAGAGGTAGGCAATTTTTAAGTACTGTGCGCTTCAGGACTCAGCAGCCTCACTCTCTGAGTCTCCTAGATGCTTCCATTTCACAGTAATAGCACTTGCAGTTGACTGGTGCAGATCTAGCAGAACAGAAATTTCACAAGCTGTGGCTAAGGTGGCATCCGGTGCCATGTTGAAAGTCTCTTCAGTACGACCCTTTCTACCACCAACTTTTGTCTAAAGAGATTGTAATGGCTATGAACTTGACTTTGTACACCTTTTAGCAATGGGTGTGGCTAAAACACCTAAGCTTAATTATTAGGGGGTGTCCACATACTTTTGACCATATGATGTGACTTTCGTTGAGTTTTTGTGCCTTGTACCTCTTCTTTTTTTGTAGTAAGTAAGTATTTATTTATAAAGCACATTTAAATCCAAAGTGCTGTACAAAGGGCATATGTAAAAATCAATCAATCAATCAATCAATCAATCAACATAAGGTATGTAACAAAACAAGTTCCAGACAATTCACAGAATCTAAGGCTAACAGATAAAAATAGGTTTTTAATCTAGACTTAAAAGCCTTAGTAGAGGGTGCAGACCTAATGTCCAGAGGCAGACTGTTCCACAGTCTCTGCGCCCCAACAGCAAAGACCCAGTCATCTGTGAGTTTCAACTGAGTCCGTGGCACAGCTAGTAACAACTGATATGATGACCTCAAGGACCTGGAGAAGGAATAGGGTTGGAGCAGATCTGCTATATAAGACGGCGCTGACCCATAAAAACAAATAAGAGAACTTTGAATTGGATCCTGTAGTATACAGGAAGCCAGTGTAGGGATGCCAAGACAGGGGTGAGGCGGTTTCTCTTTTTCTCAACAAAAATTTGGCCTTTAGTTTTCCATTCATTGTAATAGTCACATGTCAATCTCTCTGTGTCTTTTAATCCTGTTAGATGTCCTTCCATGTCTTCTACCGTGCTCCATGTGCGCGGAGCATGTGCAAGATGGAAGAGGTGCAGGACTTCTTGTTTGAGTCACGTTGTGACTTTCTCTTCCTGGACATGTTCTGCTTGGATCCTTTTGTGTTGGTGAAACGAGCCATGCTCCCCTCCTCCATCAGTAGTCGGCCCAATCTGTTCTTGCCAGACATCTCGCAGGGGAAGGAGGCGGTACCTGTGCCATGTGTTAATGAACTTGACTCTGCCTGTCCACCCCCTCTAAACTACACCAGACACAGAGTTCCTGCCCCTGGTGTCGTCATCAACACCAGCCTTGACTTCATGATGGGCTGTGACTGCACCGATGGCTGCCGAGACAGGTCTGTGCATAAAGTGTCCTGTGTGATTAGGACGGCAACTATTTATTAATCTATTTATTATTCTCAAGACTGTTATTCAGTGAATTGGACTATTTTGCTCTCTGCCATTTTTGTCAATCAGTTCATTTTGCACACTAACAATTTCTACTTTCATGTGCACCGAAACAACAGAAGCCAGTTTACCCCAACACTTTCTGTAGTTTATTGCAATTTGTTGGAATGACTTTGTGTGTCATCTGAATGCCGTAGAGCACTGTAGAATGCCTTCTTTTATTTAGGAAATAATGTGGCAATTTTTATTCCACTGTCACTGTCGACATCTGATCACCTATGTCAACTAATCCTAAAAGGCTCATGTGTGATGTAGGGCTGCAACGATTACTTCTATAATCAGTTAAACGGGGGCAGTCACAATTGGCTACTTTTATTAGCAGAAAATGGTGCATCACGCGAACGCATCATCAGTTTGGAGAAAGATGTTGGGGAAAACCAGACCAATGACAAAATGCTGTATCAAACAGAGAGAGGACTCAGCCCCAAAAGATCAGTGCAGCAGCATGACACGCCTGGTCTATTCATTCCCATCCATTTGCCCAGTGCTTCCCAACCCTGGTCCTGGTTTACCCCTTGCCCTGCACAATTTCATGCCCAAGAGTGTCCCAAGAATTTCATGTCAAGAACCTGTCAGTCAGTTGTGGATTTCAAATCATTTTTGAATCGGTGACGATGGGAAACCTAGAGACAGCTGTTATTAAACGTTTCATCCATGCCGTTCAGGCGACTTGTGTAGGCAAGTCTTTGTTGGACACAGACAGTGGACTGCTGCTTTTGTCTGATTGGACAGTGCTGTTGCTTGTAATTTGCGAGTTGAAGCAGGGGTGGGTAATACGAATATTTTATTGTTACCATGATTAATTCTGTCACAAAATGCTTTTCTAACTACATATTTCATTAAAAAGCATAATTAGCCCTGTTTTATTGGGTATTGTGTAATGCAGTTGTAAAACAATGAAGAAAAATCATTGTACTTGTAGGCACTAAAGGTTCTATTTTGTGTGCTCCAACTTCAAAATGTGAAATATTGTGATGCACATTGTGTATCATGAGAATGTCTTAAAAAATATATAGTGATTTCATATTGTTGCCAATTTACCCATCCCTAAGTTGAAGCCAGCTCAACTTTTCTCGCCACGCTTTGAGTCACGTTTGTCACTCGCTGTCCCACGATCCCTCACACATTTTTTCCACTACTCCAGAAATGAATGGGGGTGCAATGTGGGATGATGAATTTGTGGGCAGTGGACATGTGCTGTGAGTAAAGATGTTTGGTAATTTAGCAGAAAACTCAATTACTGTACTACTGTAAACTACAAACTATAGACTTGTGGGAGATGGTAAATCAGTAGTACACTGCTGTTTTAGTTTGTGTGGGAGCAGAGGTTTGCTGGTGCAGACAAAGCCCTGTCCCCGCTAAACAGAAACAGCACAAAGGAACTCTGTGACTGTGTATCAGTAATACAGTATTTTTACAGTAAATAACAGTTTTTGAAAAAGTTCAGTATCTATAAAATGTCATGTTTTTTTCTGTTTGTTTAGTGGACTGGACAGTTGGTCAATACTATATCAACTTTTTTATTTATTAATTGACTAATTATGCAAGGCTTTGATGATAATAATCCATGTTGAAATTTTTTCTGTCACTGTTTGATCTTTGCAGCCCTATGTGTGGTGGTGCGATAAGCTATTTATGAGCTGGTATACTTGTGAATTTACTGGGGTTTTTTTGTGTCCAATTCTGGTGCTGTATTCTCATTGTTCATGTATGTACATGTGCCACAGGTCAAAGTGTTCCTGTCAGCAGCTGACAATAGAGGCCACATCGTTGTTCACAGGTGGTCCAGCAGATGTTACTGTTGGATATGCAAACAAACGACTAACCGGATATGTGCCCACTGGGTTAGAACCATCACTCTGTCTCTCTGTGCTCAGTTTCTCATGGGGATGATGTGCTGTTAATGCAGTTAAGTAGCTCAAATATTTGATGGTGCTCATTCCTTATTCATTCTGTTCCTCTGCAGGGTGTATGAGTGTAATCCTCTGTGTCGCTGTGACCCGTGGATGTGCAGTAACAGGCTGGTGCAGCACGGTCTGCAGCTGCGTCTGCAGCTTTTCATGACTCAGCACAAAGGCTGGGGCATCCGCTGCCTGGATGATATCTCCAAGGGAACGTTTGTTTGCATTTTCACAGGTAGGATGAATTCATTAGCAGTGAGCCTAAAAGATGAATGTAGTTAAATAAAAATGAAAAACTGAAGTATCTGTAGCAGTATAATGTAGCTGAAGACTAAGCTCAAATGGTATTTATCTGTCAGAACTAAGGGAAACTGTGGAACTCCACGCTCTACCAGTGGATAGAGGCTGCTTTGTCTGTGTAGTCTATACATATAAAAAATTGATAGCTTAAAGAGGAATTCCACCAATTCTTCTGCCACCAGTTGCTGCATAATGAAATAGTTAAGACGGAAACAAAATTGGTTTGATGGAGTAACCTGCCGGGTTAGAATTGTTCACAGTGGTGGTGACAGGAACCAGATATCCCAAGTGTTAAAAGCTAAAATTATAACATGAAACTTTTGAAGGTGTTACCTACTGTCTGAGGCATTTTTTTACAAGTTGCAGTTAGTAGTACATTGGAAAAATTTGCACTTTTTAGTGTAGTTTTTACTAGGTTTGCATGATTGCAAAGAGCAGCATTAAGTCTGAAAGTTGGAAGTAATAGTAATAGTTTACCCGCACAGATTACCAGAGTTAACGTTCATGCTATAGACACAGATTATGAAATTAGAGTGGAGCCACGAAAAGTAGTAATATGCATCCATTTTTATTGGTGAATGAAACCATGGTAGTAAGGACATTTTGATATGCTCTCAGGAGATGACTGAATTTTAGAACTAATGAACATCAACAAACAAATAATACCCAGTTAAGGCATCATGGAAAGGATCGATTAGATCCTCAACTGACGGCCAACAGATTTTATTTATACATGTAAAGAGAGGAAAGTTTTCATCTGTTTAAAGGTTCTGTTGATATTCAATAATAATAGAAAAAAAGTTCAGTTTCCACTTATTGTACTTGCCTCACCTTCCGCTGAGTCAAATTGATTTCAGCGCCATTCAGGTTTTGCTACACTACTAATAAGTTTTTAGGTGTGTAGATTGTTTTTTTAGTTTTTAGAAACTACAGATTCAGAAACAAACGTAGAACACATGCCCACCTTTTCCAGTTTTCATATCGTCCCTGTCCAAGGAAAAACATGTATCTCCATTTTTTCCATACATACTTTTCTGCTTCATTTGAGCCCAGCAGCTGCCTTTCACTTTCTGTGAAATTCCATGATGATTGGACCAACAGAAATGCTCCAAAATTGCTTGGAAAAAATACCTTTACATTAACTTACATTGAAAGTAAAGGATGTTTTTGCCTTCTCCTGTGACGTTACTATTTTAGAGATACTTGCTTTTCTTTGGACAGCAATGATATGCATTACAGTCTTCACAATACAAAGCAACCTCACGTTGTGTCTGCCATTACCCTCACTGTTTCAGTTGTGTTCTTTTTCATACTGAGTCAGCAGTTTATCCAGTGAACAACAAACCTTAATGATTAATGCTCCTGTTCTTTCTTCATAGGTAAAGTAGTTACAGATGACATGGCTAGCATGGAGGCTAGCATGTCTGGAAACGAATACTTGGCTAACCTGGATTACATTGAAGAAGTTGAAAAACTGAAGGAGGGTTATGAAAGTGAAGCCTATTGCTCTGAAGCGGAGCAGGAGGGTGAGAAGAAGGTTCTCGTAAGGATGACAACAGGATCATTAAAGAAGCACGACGTGTTCACAAGAGACTCTAGTAGTGGTGAAGGTACTGTGGGTCTGTTTGTGTGCAAGTGTGAGAAAGTATAGAAGCACTAACACAAGAGTCTTACTCTTCTGTTGGAATCGTTTGTTTGTTTTTCTTCCATTAGAAATGGAAGTTTCAGACCAACAGAAGACAGAGAGGAATGAGAGAAGCGGCAGATGGAAGAGTAAAACAAATGATTGTGAGGATGAAAATGTGTCTTGTTCTGGAGATGAAGATGAAGATGATGACATGGATGATGAGGATTACAAAGTAAGCTCAGATGAAGCAGATGTGAATCCAAAACGCTTGAATGTTGACTGTCAGAGGACCTACATCACACGAAGGAATGCTAAGATCCTGAACGGTGAGAACTAGACGTTTCTTGAGCTGGAAAATAATTATTTGCTTTTGTACAGATTCCAAATTGTCTCTTTGCCACAGTATGTAAGTAAATGTAAATTGAGAGTAAATTAAATCTGAATCCATTGCCTTGTACAGCATCCATGCAGAAAGAACACATTGACGGTTTACCACCAGACAGTGTGGTACAGCACAGTACATGATCATACAATTTGTCATAATTTCCATTGCCATGTAAGCTGTACTGTAAATGAGTAACTGGGCTGAATTTGGTTACACTTCATGCCAGAGTACTGGGCAAGGTAGGCTTTGGCCTTTTGGGGGGCCCTAAGCAAGATTTTGGGAGCCCCCCCGTTTGGTAGCTAATATACTATAAAATTTGAGGCTAACTAATAACAATGGTTACCACAAGCTGTCTAGATGATGTAAATTTATATCTGGCTAATTTGTCGATTGCTGATGATTAGATGCTTTTTAGAGCAATTACAGAATTACCTCCTCAGCATTCTCGATCCAGGGGTCACACTTGTTTACCCAGTTAACTTGGTTAAATGCTTACTCCTTTGTTGCTTACCCAGCTAACTTTAAGCTTAGTTCTAACCATGGTGGCAGGTGTGACAGTGTTGCTTTTTATCCTTTATAAATGCTTTGCTTCCTGCATATTTAGGTAGCATGATTTCTTTTTCCATTTTTGGTGGTTCGTCCTCATGTTTCACGTGATTGGCTGTTTGTGATAAATGTCATGCCTTCATGTGCACGCAAACAAGGATTAATCACAGCCTGAGTGTCTAAACCTGGATTAATCACAGCCTGAGTGTCTAAACGTGGATTAATCACAGCCTGAGTATCTAAACCTGGATTAATCACAGTTTGAGTATCTAAACCTGGATTAATCACAGACTGAGTATCTAAACCTGGATTAATCACAGCCTGAGTATCTAAACCTGGATTAATCACAGACTGAGTATCTAAACCCTGAATTAATCACAGCCTAAGTATCTTAACCTGGATTAAGCACAGCCTGAGTATCTAAACCTGGATTAATCACAGACTGAGTATCTAAACCTGGATTAATCACAGCCTGAGTATCTTAACCTGGATTAATCACAGTCTGAGTATCTAAACCTGGATAAATCACAGCCTCAATTCCGTGTTTGTTAGGTTTTGTGAAGCTTGTTGTCCAACTAAACTCAAAACAGATGTTACACAAACACTACAAAAAAGCAACATAACTTGATTTTTAAACTTTTTCTTCTCATCATCTTATTTTCTTGCTTTTTCTTCAATAGGGTACAGTAATATCCCTGAAGTTGTTAGGGCCCTCTGGTGGCCATGGGGCCCTAAGCAGATGTTTATGTAACTAAATAGGTAGAACCAGCACTGGTACTAGGCATATCGGATTGGGACGTGTAGGTGGAGCAACAGACCAAGCTTTTCTAAACCATAACATGTCATACTGCACTGCCTGGTGGAAAAGCGTCTAAACAGTAGCTATGTTTCCATCGACTTTCTGTGCAAATTGCAAGATAAAAAAAGACTTTCGTTTCTTAAAAAAAAACTTTTGAAAAATTTGTGGCACCTTGACATGTTGTTTCCATCTCTGATTTCATGTATGTTACAACTTGTTTACCTTTAAATGCCCTAACATCCCATCACCTACTGATAAGGAAGTGTTGTTTTATATTGTATTATTAGAATTTAATTATTTATTTCTTTAATTATTTCCCATCAGAATCGTTACGCAAGAGATCACGTTTCCATATAGAGCTGTTGGAGCTCTGGAAACACTCCAAAGACTAAGCACTCTCTTCTCTCTATTAGTCTAACTATACCTCTTAGCCCTGCTGTTTGTGTTTGTTGTAAAATGGCGCACAAAGGAAATCTGTCACATGACACTGAATTTATGTTTAAATGCATTATTTTTTCAAAAAAAAAAAAAAATTATTCACTATTTCAGATATTGGTAATCAATTTTCTGCTAAAGTTAAATTAAAACTTTGGTGGAGACTCATAAAATATTACCGACAGTTTCCATTTTCTACGTCGACAGAATTTTAGAGCATTGAAACATTCTTCATTTAAAAATCCTTAAAATGGAAATGTGACTGGTTTTTAACAAGTGTTTTCTATCTTTCATGCTTACCCAGTTGATGAAGATATACACAGTGACCTCAGTCCACCCCTACCTCCGAAACTGGTGGAGGACCAAACAGAGGTGTCTCCTTCCATGGCCAAACAGATGAGGAAAGAGGGTCAGACACTCTGTTGTTTATGTTTTTGGCAGATAAAATGATAGCACAAGATAGCACAATAGCTTCTAAGAGGAATCCATTGTCTAGATCTGTTCTCCCTTGATGTGTTTCTCTTCAGGCCCAGGGGAAGCTAGAGTGGGGTTTGCCCGGAAGACCACACGCAATTTTGCCATCAAATCCTTCCACAGGAAGGTGAAGCAACCAGAAGTGCCCAAGGAAAAGCCACAGGAGAAGACGACACACTGCAGAAGGAACACCCGAAGCCTGTTCAATAATGAGAAGGCCTGTTACCTTATTGATGCCAAGGACAAGGGCAACATAGGACGCTTTATCAATGTAAGCACAGTGAGGCTTTGAGGAAGGATGGTGGAGCACAGTTTTTTGTTGGGTTTCCACAGACTCTAGGCCCAAAATGTGCAAAGTATATAATCAGTCTTTCATATTTTAAATACATTAAAGTTGAGGGGGCAACTTTTTTCTCTAGCAGTGATTGGACAGGATTCCTAAATATGTTATACAAAGCAGGCCTATTTTTCAGTGAACTGTTATCTGGCTTTTATTAGATGGGAGTTCTATTGCTACCCCTCATGTTTTACTAGACAGTGGTAGAGGTCTAGCAAGATAATTTTCCCAGCAAAAAGTGAGCCAGGGTCTTATATTCAAGTAAGCTTAACTACATTAGGCTAACGACACAGCAGGTAACAGTGGCCCAAATCCAATGTTTTTCTTCATATGCGACATGGATGTGTCATCTGTTCACCCACTTCTCAGAAGAGAGAGAGTGTGCAGCGTGATACACAGAGGGAGAGAAAGTGCACAAGCACCTGAAATTTATGTTTAAAAAAAGGCAAATCCACCACACTGTAAAATAATAATCATTAAAAGTAAACAGTAAAAGGTTATAAAATTTCAAGTTCACTGAACATCGAAAACAATAAGTTGACACAACAACGCGTGTTGCCTGGTTACCTACATAAAAAAACACTACATAAAAAACACTTACCTGAAAATAAGGCCACCCTGACCCCGATATTGTATGTGAGAAATTGTTTAGTCAATATTTTGTAGAGCGTGTAGCCCTCTAGACCTCTAACAGTGTTTGTCAGGACACAGAACTGCCCAGACAAAATGATTTGTTTTAACATGATCTTTTAGATTTCAAATATGTTTTCTTGTTTGGTTTTAGGCAAGAGGCATTTTACTGAATGACTATTTAGCTTTAAAATAAATAAAAACTACAGATTAAATGTTTGTTAGCAGAGAGATGTGTAGAAGAGATCTCCCAAAACAATGCCAACTTGTCTTTGTACACACATACAATTATAGCAAAACAATGTGATCTAACTCCTCAACATGTGGCCATGAAGGAAAGGGACTCACTCTCACTTCCTGTTCTATAATGCAGGGATGTGACTAAAATAAGCCTCGCCTATGGACTCTTTGTTTCGGTGACGTGAAAACACGGACAGAATTTTTAAAGAAAGCTCAAAACACTCTGTCCCCTCCGAATTTGCGCCAGTGTCTTAAATGAATTACTGCCACTGATGATAAGTCAAAAAGCTTTCAGATATATACAAATAGTGTCCACTGTTATTGTTTCCTTTATTTAAATGAAACGTACACAACAAGGTATGCTAAAATATGATTTTGAGGACTTTGTTTAATCCATGAAAGTGTTTCATGTATAAGAAATATAACCCTAAAAATGCTTACTCCATAAAAAGTATGTTAAAAATATTTAAACATGCACACCTTCTGGATTTTCTTCATGCACTGACCTCTCTCCCACGCTCCACAGCATAGCTGCAGTCCCAACTTGTTTGTTCAGAATGTGTTCGTGGACACGCATGACCTCCGCTTCCCCTGGGTCGCATTCTTCGCCAGCAAGTTAGTGTTTACCACCTGCTTCGTTTTGATGTCTTGGATGTGAGACACTTTTGAAAAAGGCATACATTGAATCCTGAGTTAATTACCCTTCCCCTTCTCTTTCTTGCTCTCAGGCGGATCAGGGCCGGCACTGAACTGACATGGGATTACGGATATGAAGTGGGCAGCGTGGAGGGAAACGTACTGCTCTGCTGCTGCGGCTCGGCTGAATGCAAGGGGAGGTTGCTCTGAGCCCCCTCCCTGATTAAACGAAACCTAGAGACCCAAACATAGATTGTGTTTTCATTTTAATGTTATATTTGTTAATAATAAAATATGACAATATTGACTGAATGTATGTTTTTCTTAAAAAGTAATGACACAGTAATAGGTAGTAATAACAGAACAATAGAGGATTTACATAAATGCATACATATCACTCACTACCCAGTTCATACAATCTGTATTTGAATTTTGAAATTATTGTTTGTGATGTTACAAAAATCAACACATTGGGATTGTTCGAGATGAATTGCAGTCTGGGATGGGTGGGTGGGGGGGGGCAGGGGCGTGGGACGCTGAGAAGAGCGCTGTCAAGCTGGACAGTTTTCCTGGTAGCCCCCCGTGTGAGCTGGCAGCTCTCGTGTTTACTTGTCAGATGTAGTATTTGAATAATACATGTTTCAACTTCACATGTAAAAATAATAACCACAAACACGGTACATTTTATTAAGACTGTGCTGTATTCATTACGGTTTGTGTCTACAAGGTTGTCGGCTGAGCTTCTAGCCAATGAGGGTTAAGCTCTGTCATCATAAAGTTGTATCTCCAGCTCACACAGGCGGAGCAGCTTTTACAGCAATAAGCCACGAGAGGCTGTGCTTTACTGCGATTTTATCACGGGAAGGGTATTCTCTCTTCCCTGTGATAAAATCGCAGTAACACATGGCCTCAAGTGGCTTATTGCTTTTATAAAACAGCGGCCAACATAAAATATGATAAAATACACAGTTTTTTCTGATAATAATGTAAGTAATAATTAATAATAATTGACATAAACAAGGATTCCGCCAAGAAATGTAGTTCCTTTAGAGTATGGTATCATTGCCAAGCAGCCATGGACCGCTGACTGAGACAAACGTTCTGTTGCCCATCATTGAATGTTGCGGTCATTTAATTAATTTTTTAATGTTTTGTCATATAACAATGAACATACGATAACACAGCACTGTTTAATGCAAAAACGTTCGCTTTATAAGTACTTTTTGGTCACCAAATTCTCACCGCAAGTCTTATTTAGCACCAATCCAGTGGTGCCCTTTTCTCATGCTGTGGCTGGATCACAAATGGGTCCCTGCTCCCTACATAGTGTACTATGTAGGAGGACAGTGCAAAATACAGCTAGGAAATGGTCATTTTGGACTCGCATCCATACTCAATGGATGCCACATCCATACTCAATAAATGATGCACTGTTGGGCTGTAGAGGCTAGGATTTCTAAACTTTCATAACTAGCACACTATTTAGGGAGTACAGAGCCATTTGGGATTCACCCTGAGTTTGATGCTACTTCTCACTGAAACACAAACATTTGAAGCGTGTAATCTGTTCAAGTGGTATTTTTTGGACTTTTATACGGTTATTTTACAGTTAATCATACCGTGAGTAGTGATGGAGTTTAGGCTGTTTGCTATCTTTTAGCCTGTTAGCTAGCTGACCAGTCTAGTTTTAGTTAAGAACATAAGTTGCCAGCCCCTCCGTTTAAACAAAAACGGTTCTTACTTCATCAGCATACTCGGTGGTCCATACGAGCAGCATGAGAGTCAAAGATCATTCCATTAACAGCACAAGGAATTTTTTTGTGTCATGGTGCAGTAATACAGAGTTCAGTTGCTGTTACAGATTCAAATGTGGCCCAGCCAATCAGATTTTAGGACCAGAACTATCAGTTTTATAATATGTATTTTTCTATGGACAGATTGGATGTTAAAGTATTTCTTTTTGTCCAATACTGAGTTAACATGGGTAAATATCATTTACATAAGAAGAGATGGTCTGACTATAAGCCGAACTTTACACGTCCTCCATGAGGTTAAGGAATATGACACTATTTTAAAAAAATCGCTCTGTAAAGTACCGCATTAATTCGAACAAACCTGTGAATATCTCTCCAGCCTTCAGCCTATAGCAGTTTAGCTCCGCCCGTTCACACTGAGGTTATAAGGAGTGTTTCAGATCTGAAAGCTGTTTGAATGTCAGCCAATCAGAACAGAGCTCATTTGTTTTTTTGATTGATTATTTGGTTTATTTTGTATTTCTGTTTTTGAAGTAATTCGCTCTCGAGAAATAGTTGGTGTTTCAGTGGAGAGAGAGTTATGACTATATGTTTTTCTCCAGTGGAGAAAAGTATATAGCCATTTAGTAAGTGATGATAATGAGAAGCCATATGAGATGCTAAGTCACAATTATGATATAGGAAGTCGTAATTATGAGATTATAAGTCACATTATGAATATAGTCATTATTATGAGGTACCAAGTCATAATTATGATATGGTAATTCATAATTATGAGAAAATAATAATGATTATGAGATAGGAAGTCGTAATTATGAGATTGAAAATCAAATTATGAAATAGTAAGTCATTATCATGGGTCATAATTATGAGATGCTAAGCCATAATGAGAAAGTAAGTCATAATTGGGAAAACTAAGTCATAACTAAGCAGAACTTTCTCAGTAGTATGCCTATATATTTGTCTCCAATGGTGGAAACGGCCTTCCCCAGTAGAGCCGCGGTGAAGGATAATTACGTTGGATGACCGAGCACCGCCTGTATGTGTGAGGAGGGGGAGGAGGCTCCGCTCACTCGTCCGTTCACTCTGATTTGGGAGAGAAATTGCTAGCTGAAGCGCCAACACGGATTTTCTTTGGGATAAACGCACAGGCCTCGCCGCTAAAACGGTAATTGTAAAATATTTGTTCGCCTGTCGTCGAACGACTGTGATTTGTAATACAGCTACAGCGACCGCTCCGTGTTTTGCCGTTGTGGTAGTCAGCGAGCGGCCGCCTCCCCCTAATGCTAACCTGCCCGCCGTCAAGATGGCGGAAGCTCAGTGGGTGGACGGCTAACTGGATTAGCGCTGCTCGGTTAGCACGGTAGCAAAACAGCGAGAGTATGTATTTAGAGCCCCTTTTCACTTTCTTATAATCACACACAGTTTTGTCCCAGCAATGTCAAACAAGACAGGTCGCCACATAGGTTAGTTAGCCTATATTATTTTAATGTAAAGGACTAATGTTTGGTAAAAGTTTGGACGATACGAGCTAGCTAGGGTAGGTAAGATGCAACGTTAGTTGACGTTATAAATTAGTCTTATTAACCAGTCAGCTATGCATACTTCACTGTTCATTTTTGAGGACACCACTGCATTACTTAGGGATCTAACGCTGCCCGCTTCCCCATTCCCAATAATACTGAATTACGTTGTGTGCTAGCAAAGCATTTTACTCCGATCAACAGCTATCTTAGATGGCTTGCTATTTATGTGCACCCGCTTACCTGGGTAGTTATGTAGCCTACAGACGCACCTAAATACAGACTATCCAAAAGCCTGACAGTTGAACTTCTGTACAGTTACAGCTAGATTAAAAAACGTTATCTTTCTAAGTTCATGCTGTCTGTGGGTGTCGTGTGAAACCAGAATTGTAGTAGTTAGCGGTCAGCGGTTTGGTTTTATTCTTGTCGAGACTCATCAAACAGACAGCAGTATAGAGGTGGCGATATGGCAGAAATCTTATTTATTTGCGATACTTCAGGGAAATATTTAAGATACATATGTCACTGTGTTTATTTTTTTTCGGACATCTGATCCGTTGGAACAGAGAAAAAAAACCCGTAGTGCTACATTAAAAAAATACTATCAAAAACTGAACACAGTGATTTGTATTCATTGCCTTAAATCCAGTTAAACATGACTAATTTTGCTTTCTTTATAATAAAACGTACGCTTGGTCAGAGATCTAAAAGTGCTGATGATATCCACAATGTGTTCAGAAAAGCATATTGTACTGTATTGTGACATAATTTGTCATAACGGTAAATGTTGTCAGATTGTCCAGCCCTAAAACAGTACATTAAAAAATCTTCCCTTGTTGCCAACAGCTGTCAAAACTGTGCTTAAATCAGTAAAATTACTTTGCACAGTAGACAACATAAATTTTGTCCAAAAGTATTTACATAAATAGGGTATTTACATCTTCTCCAGGTGTTGTTTTTGAGTTTATGCATCATAGGACCATTTCCTTCGAGAACTAGTTTACATATGTGTGTGTTTTTGTACAGTGGCATTAGGCTTTTGCATGATTAGCGTTGTTCTGGTACATCTCTGTCTGGGTAGTATAACTGCCTCTCACAGTGGTTTAAAGTACCTGGGTGGATTATTACATTTTTCTGCTGGAAAGTTCAGCCTAAACTATTATTTTGTATTAGAGTATACCTACTTGATTTTGGCGTGCTGTGTTTGGACCTCCTTGTTGTTTCAGGGTAATCCATTTTTCTGTTCCCAGTTCTCAAAACAAACTTGTGAAATCTCTATAAATCTTAAATGAAGTTTGAAGCTAATCAAGCCACTTAATAAGCTTTTTCCGAAGTTTATAATTTCTGAAGAATAGAGTGGCTCAGTATCATCATGAATAATTTGAAGAACTACTAGCTTCTCTAATCAGTAGAAGTAGTTATGGATTCATTGTTACTTTCATTAACTGGACCGTTTACCATCTGCCTAGTTTCTGGTCAGTCATGGCCAACCGTCTGCTTAATGTCTTGTGTTTGTGATCTAAACCCATTTAGATGCCTCATTCTAGGCGGTACGCCTCCTCGGAGCAGGTGAGCCGCGGCAGCTATCAAGACAGGTATCGTGATCGAGACAGAGAGCGAGGGAGGAAGCAGCGACATCGCCGTTCACCCTCCTTCTCCTCCAGCAGCGACCGAGAAAGGAGGGGACGAGGACACAGGCAGGAGGGTGGCTATGCACGTTCCAGGAGGTGCGTGTGTATTAGAGAGAATATGTCCTTCTGAAGCTTCTTAACAGCTTGTTCAATTTATTACATTATTATACGTATTTTTCATTTTTGTTCAGTGTGTTTGAAATCTATGCTGCCCATTGAAAATTTGGGGGTCTTCATATGTCAGTTTTCTCACTTTTACTTTTCACTTTTTAATCCAAGTTTCGATACTCAAGCTGTGATTATTCCTCATGTGCTTGACATCTATGACAAAAGCAATCATGTGAAACATAAGGAGTCGAGTGGCTTATTTTGAGAGAAAGTAGGAATCGTATTATGTAAACATGTGGAACATGAAGCATTTATAACAGTAAAATGCTGTTTCCACTGCCACTGTTAGTGTTAGTGCTTATTGAAGTAATCATTGCTTTATATTTTCGATATCTATGTTTCCTCTGCTAAAAAGTGACATTTTACACATGACTGACACCTCGTCAGACAGAAGGCTGTCCCTGAGTAGTCAGAAGCCCAGCCCTTGTTGATCCAAGAGCTGTTTATGGTCTGAAATCCCAAATGTAATCTGCAGCATGAGTTGTCATGGCAAAGCATCCCAGTAAAAAGTGATCCACTGTTGTGAGGTACAAAAGCCAGGGTTAGATAGGTCTGAGCTTAGTTAGGCTAAGCAAGAAATCTAGCTATGTGAGACAGGCCCCAGGTTCGTTTAATATGTTAATTATTGCAAATTGACAAAACTTTATTGTTTGCATTTTGAAAGTGTAGGTGTTCCTTAACTTTTGATGAGCGATGTATGCCAATGAGAGCTTAAGCTTTTTTAGTTTGCTTCTTTTTTCCAGCTATGACAACCGTTCCGCAGACCGACGGCCGTATGACAGACGCTATGGTGACAGCTACCGGCGACAGGACCACAGCAGAGATCGCGACCGGGAACGTGGCCGTGGGACACTGGACAACTACTACTCCCGCGATGCGTCACCCAGCTACGACTACCGCCGTGTCCACGAACGGGAGCGCGAGGACTCGTACCGGCAGAAAGGCAGCAGGCGTAAGCACAAACGAAGGCGGCGTAGAACCAGGTCCTATAGCCCATCCTCCTCGGTGAGTACTTCTTAACCCAAGCCTTGCTCTTCCCCTCCCCTCTCTATCTCTCTCTTCAACTGCTTAGCTCTCGCTTTCTTTCTCTTTAACCTTTTCTTCTCCGCAGCTCCAGGAATTGGTAAGTATGAACTCTTTTTGTTTTTTTTCTTTCATTTTGTTTTGTTAAGTTTTTTTGTCTGTATTATTAGTAGAGAGACTAACTCTGAGATTACACAGTGTATTGTGAAACACCCCTTACAGAACATAATGCAGGTTAGGGTGACGTCAGTGCCATAATGAATTTAATTATTTATATTTTTAGTCATTAATTAATTATAAATTATGGATTAGTAAGGGAGTATAAGTGACATTTTACCTTTTTATTGAAATTATTCTTTCTCTCTACACACCTCATCCTCTTGTTCTCATCATTTTACATTTAACAGAGAGGTGGTGTGTAATTACCATTAGTCTACTTGACACTGATTAGATTTTTCTTCCATCGCTTGCCTTCTTTTATTTCTTTACTGGGTAGTGCAGCTTGTTTTGAACTGTATAATCTGATGGTCCTGAGCTATCAATGTCTTTGCTCATGTGTCTTTTTGTATGAGTAAATGTTTATGATGCAGGTTGATTTTGACTTTTGTCAGGACTGCTAGGCAGAGGGGTTGAAGGGGAGTACATGTAGAAAGCAAGAAAAGAGGGACGAAATGTGATCTTTGACTTCTTCCCTTGCACTATATCCCTATCGTTATATATATCTCCTCACGTGGTGTCATACGAATCGCCCCATGATCACCAAACCTACCTACAACAACAACACTGCTCCTCTCCATCGCCGTGGCTACGGCTGCCCCCTCCGCTCTCCCCTCTCCGCCCACCCCCCTCCTCCTTCTGCGGTCGTGCTGTGACCTCTCACCTGTGACCCTGGCGGGGGCCGAAAAGCAGCGGAGTGACAGCGGGACGCGGGCGCTGTGTGTGAGGGACGACGAGGAGGGTCATCTGATCTGTCGGAGTGGCGACGTCCTGCAAGAGAGATGTACACACTGCCACTACTACTACTCTACTCCTATATCGTAACCTTTCTCCCTATCAGTACCAGCACAGAGCAGACATACTCACACATGGGAGGGCAAGAGGTCTTGTTGTTGATGATGATGATGATGATGATGGTGAATGTGATTGATGGCGTTATAGATTGCGCTCCCTTGTTGTCAGAATAGACCAGGAGGGTGAATGGCATGATAAATATGCATTATTTTATATATTTCTAGCTGTTTTCTTTTTTATGTCGGCGGGGTGGCGATAATGGTGTACAGCTGCGTTACAGGAATGTTTACAAGTATCTTTTATGGCTTTTGATATTCTTGTTCCCTATTAATAGAGAATTAATGCATAAGGTGGAGATTATAGGAGCAGCATATTTCCCTAGAACCTGCTTCAGAATTTGGTTAAGCATATTTTTTCCTAAATTAAGATTAAGGCAGTTTATTTATTTGGGTGGGGGAGGGGGGATCTGATCTTTCTTTTATTTGTTAACCCAGTGCATTCCCAATGATTCCTCAGCAGGGGGGATTGGTCTTGGTTGCATTGTAGCTTTTGCAGCATTTTCAGGATTCCTCTTGCAAAATTTTTATAAGATTTTGTTTGTTTATTTATTTTTTTATTGAAGATGTGCAAATTTGATGGTTGTCTATTTTAGGTTAGGCTGTCCGTTATAAATAGGGAACAAAGCTAGAAATGCTAGAACGTTTACCGCCTGCTTTTTGTTTCTGTTGTGTTCTCTTTCTAAATACTCTTTACTTCTCCCCCTTTCTCTTTTTCTCTTTATCTCTTTTTCCCCTCTGTCTTCCTCTCAGATGAAATTTTTGGCACATTGGGGGAGGGCACCTTTGGGAGGGTGATGGAATGCATTGACCATCGCAGGTAAGTACTGTCAGCTGGTTTACAAAAATTCAGGCATTTTGTAATTTACCATAGCTGGCTTATTTTATTTTAATTAGGTTTCAGTGGTGTAATACAAAATGATCAGGCATAGAAAAAAGCCTTTATAGAAAGAGAAATTAAATTTAGAGATGGCATATGTGTACCAGTGGGTATCAGTTTATTAAGGTGCTTAAATTAAAAATAGCTTAAACAGTTAAGTAGTTTTTAAAGAAAATAAATATCGTCATTGGTAACAGCCTATATTCAAGTAGTTTAGCTGTTTTTCATGTTGAGTATTTTTTTGTTTTATACCAGTAGACGAGAATCAGGAGTATGCCTTGTATTAAAATTGGAGAGGCCACAGAATACATCCTTGTTGGACTCCTCAAAGAGTTGGATACTAATACATGTTGAACCTCCTATCAGTTTACTCTGTTAATACTTTGTTTTAATCAGAGGTGGAGCCCATGTTGCTTTGAAAATCATTAAGAATGTTGAGAAGTACAAGGAGGCAGCACGACTAGAAATCAACGTACTGGAGAAGATCAACGAGAGAGACCCTGAAAATAAAAAGTAAGGATACAAACATGTCATAGTAATTGTCTGTACACAAAACTCAGAACTTTACACCATGTCAGAGCACGTGATTATCAAAAGCTAGTGTTGTGCACTATTTAAGGTAACAAAATCTCAAGTCAAGGTATATTTGACCCTTTTTATGGCAGGTGAAAGATAATTTGTGTGTGGTTACATCATAATTTTTTCTTAGTTTGAGCCTGTGCTCTTTATATTACAGCCATAGAATTACTGAGGTATATACAGCAAACAACTTTTGTTTAATCAGAGTATCCACTGCCCCCAAATATTAGTGTATTCACCCCACAAACCCTCACTGATTAAAAGGTCTATGTTTTCCTGATCGTGCCTATTTTTTTACACTCTCCCTTTTTCAGTCTTTGTGTACAGATGTTTGACTGGTTTGACTACCATGGCCACATGTGTCTTAGCTTTGAGCTCTTGGCTCTCAGCACTTTTGACTTCCTGAAGGAGAACAATTACCTGCCCTACTCAATCAGCCAGGTCCGACACATGGCCTACCAGATCTGCCTCGCTGTCAGATGTGAGTACCTCAGTTTGTTAGTTCCATGTGTATGGGAACGATGTCATATGCTTCAGATTTGGCTTGTTATGGTGTAACGGTTTTATGGTTGAATACGGTGTGTGATGGGATGGTTATCCCACTGATAGTCACCTTGAAGTCAGAATGTCTTGCATGTTTCATAGCTTATCGTTTGATGCGTTGAACTTTACAAATGTTTTTTTCAGTGAAGCAACTGTATCTATGCCTGTTTCCGAAAGGCTTATGTTGTCAAGGCACATGTAGCAGACACTTCTGGGAAAGTGACCAGCTTATTTTACTGTAAATATCTGATGCTCCATTAAGCTTGGGGATATATAAAAATATTTAGCACAGTATTTTTTTAGTTTAAAAAAAATCAGTTGTCGATTATATCACCCAAACCCCAACCAATACATGCAATCTGCTGCAGCATTGATCCACTTTCTGTTCTATTTTTTGTTTATAAGCTTTTTTGGGCATTAAACTGATTTAATGATTTACTGAAAAAAGAGGTAGTAGTAGATCCTCCTGGTGGATTATTGGTGACTTGCATGTTGATGGTGCTACCTGCTGGAAAATCTTCAGACTGCAAGTGATTTCCAAAGCCGTACTGACGTTCTAAACATGAGGTGTTGTCTGTCATTATGGCAGAGTCACTCTGGAATTCAGATGTAGACACCTTTTTGGAAAACAGTTTTCATAATTTAACTCCTCTGAACCACCAGGACCCTTGCCCTGTATGGAAAATGCTACAGTTTTTTTTCTCAGACAGTAAGGGTACATACACACTAGATAAAGCATAGACGGAGTGGTAGACGCATATGCATGCAGGTCTTGTCCGTCTAGAAGGTGTGTGCACAGCTGGGGCGGGGCGGAGTTTGTACAGTTCGAATACCAGTGGGAAACAAAACATTTGGACCCAAAATGAAAAGATTTGGGCCATCGAAAGAACATTTTGCCAGGCAGACAACAGCCACAAAGGTAAAAAAAAATCCTGTAGAACAGGAAAAGACTACACAACGTCGCTGCTGACCTCCAGCTTGCGTTCTCATCCGTCTTCTGCCTGCATGTTTCTATTGGTTGACTTGCGTCCACATCAGGATTCGTTGCTGCAAAAGTTGAATTGGTTTGAACTTTTTTTCACTGCATACAGGCACATTTCTAGTCCGACAGAGCTGACGCAGCGTCCTACCTGAAATACACTGGGGGACTGCGTTTCTGACGCTGCGTCAACTTCTAGTCTGAATCACACTCTGGGAAACCACGCAGCAGAGACTATGTCAAGTTCATTCTTCTGCTACCTAACAGCTTTTGAAGGCCCCAAAATGACCCATTTGTTTTAATAGTGAAAGTAAATAAAAATTGTATGTACGCAGTATTTAATATTGTTTGTTACCTGTTTCTGACACTTCAGTTATCCCCTTTTTATGCATCATCGTCTAATTACTTGTCAGTCATTGTCATACAATTATGCCACCCTATTGCTCAGGCCTGTGCTTCTTGTACCTTTACGTGAAGTGTCTAAGGCTGAGACCATCGTTCAAAATGCTGATTAAAATTAATTGCCTTCTGTGCGTTAATACTCCTGTTAGTTCATTAAATCAGTGATTCTCAACCTATTTGCGTCGCGTTCCCCTCTTTCTTCACCCAACACACTAGAGCCGCCTTCTTCACATTCTTCTGCCAGGGGACTTTATAATGCTGGAAAATTAGCTCTACAGTACACTTCTGTTATAAACACATGCTACATTGCTGCCACTGATGTTACTCCCCAGATGTGTTAGATGTGGCAGCCTTTACACACTAATGAACTGCTAAATACTTGTAAAATAGCAGAAAAGTCAGGGAGATATCAAAGATGATTTACTGTAATCTTCATGCACTATTATTGTCTCTGGTGTCAGTATGAGTGTCTTTGTTCAAAACTAATGATCAGGTCATTATGATGCCAGTGTGTTCAGTCAATTCCAGTCTCTGTATTTTACTTTTTTTTTGACTGGTTGCTTAATGCTCATAATATGAAAGTGTCAATCCACAGCACTTCTAACTCTGATACATTTTTTGTACTATTGCCTTTGAAGAGGTTATGCCTGAGGTTTCTTACTGTTCTTTGTTACATGGAATTTTTGCTTTCCGTCAACAGTTCTGCATGATAACAAGCTGACCCACACAGATCTGAAACCTGAAAACATCCTCTTTGTCAACTCTGACTTCACAATTACATACAATGTAGAGAAGGTGAGCAAGGGAACCTGTTTTTTTTTCCCTCATGGTTTGGGTTTTTTTTGGCTTGAATGTTTTGTGTGTGTAAGTTTATTGTGCTTCAGTGCCTTCTTGTTTCTGGCCCAGAAAAGAGACGAGCGAACGGTGAAGAGTACAGCAGTGAGGGTAGTAGATTTTGGCAGTGCCACATTTGACCACGAGCACCACAGCACAATCGTCTCCACCAGGCATTATCGTGCCCCTGAGGTCATTCTAGGTAAGTATTTGAATGTTTAGATTCCAACTGAGTAAGAATGTTCTAATATATAAAAATCAGGAAGTTAAAAAAAAATAAATAAATAAAAAAAATAAAGTAGATTAGGATTTGTGAATGTGCTTGTCTCTAACATCATTTGGGATCATAAGAACCATGAGATGTCAGAGCTCTGTGTCCCCTCCAGAGGGCAGCGTAGAATCTGTGTTGTATATGTTGGTCAGAGTTTCTTATCTGTAGGGAGAGACTAAGCGCACCTGATGGGCATGCATGCCGAAAATACTTTGCACAGTCAGAGTAGTGTGCCATTATTGCTATTTAAGAAATACAGCTCAATACGTTTGGTGTCAGTTGGAAGAACAGACAAATTTGCAGCGTGCAGTCATGTCTTAAATATTGCACCAGTGAAGAATTTATGACTCTTACCTGTTTCATTTAGTATATTTCCATGCTGTAAAGTTGTAAACAAAGTATTGTTAATAGTAGCTCACCACCATTGGCTACCTGGCTTAAATTACAACAAGCACATAGTTAGGTTCTCTCAAAAATAAAACAAATAATAGTTCTGAAAGCCTCTTGACCCACTTTATTAATACTTCAGACCACAGTGGAATTCCACAAAATGTTAACTCGAACTTAACATTATAACATCAGTTTAGTCCAAAGAAAGAAGTATAGAAAGCCTAATAAAGCCAGGTAAAGACTACTGCATGCCAGATGACAAGTGCTGGCAGCAGCACAGTTATAGCACATAGGAAGGAAGAGTACATAGCACATAGAAAAGTGCCAATAAATAATAAACTCAAGTTAGTACAGTAATGGTGAGAAGTAGAGTGGCATCATTGTCTCTGGTCAGTGTCTCCTGGGGTGACCAGTGGAAGGGGGGGTTCAGTAACCTGTAGACTTGAGATTGCTATGCTTTTAGATATTTAGTTTATATACTGATGCTTAATTTCATGTAATTGATCAGCTTCCATAAAAGTATGATTTTCAACAAAGCCAAAAGGTTTTAGACCAGGACCAAAGGGGAGTTCATGAGAACAGACCAAGCACTTTGTTTTGTTTTGTATTGCCATGACATTGCTAGTAGGTTACTTTCTTTGCATCAGCAAATTGTTAAGAAGCATAGTCCTAATTTATTTTTTAATTTTTAATGCAAGTTTCCTCTTGTACTTATGGGCTTTGTGCTGAGTACAGTGGATTTTATTGTATAGTTATAGCTCTTGTTATTGTTATTGTACCTTCCAAATATGTTTCTATGCAGAGTTGGGTTGGAGCCAGCCTTGTGATGTGTGGAGTATTGGCTGCATTCTTTTTGAATACTACCTTGGCTTCACACTTTTTCAGGTACACAGTAGTGTTCTCTCAACATGTTCTTTCTCATTCTTTTCCTTCTTTCCTTTCTTTCTTTCTTTCTTTTTCTTTCTTTCTTTCTTTCTTTCTAGCTTTTCTTAGTTTTTTTTTCCTTATTTCCTTTCTTGCTTTTTTTCTTTCTTTTTCTTTCTTTCTTTCTTTCTTTCTAGCTTTTCTTAGTTTTTTTTTTTTCCTTATTTCCTTTCTTGCTTTTTTTTCTTTCTTTCTTTCTAGCTTTTCTTAGTTTTTTTTTCCTTATTTCCTTTCTTGCTTTTTTTTCTTTCTTTCTTTCTAGCTTTTCTTAGTTTTTTTTTCCTTATTTCCTTTCTTGCTTTCTTTCTTTTTCTTTCTTTCTTTCTTTCTTTCTTTCCTTCCTGTCTTCCTTCCTTCCTTCTTGCCATCCTTCCTTCCTTCCTTCCTTCTTTCCTTCCTAGTCATGGCAGCAGGTAGACACAGTTTGTGCTACAGCTAAGAGATTAACCGGGAGTACAATCTGGCCTAGAGTCACTAACGCCCGCACATTAATGCCAACACCTGTTATTTGCCCTAAGACCATACATGTCCTCACTAATACTCTCTCTGTCTTCCTCACGCACGCTTAGTCTTATCATTGCGTAGACTGGCAGGAACATGTGCAGGATGGACCAAATTGTGAAATTACTGACTGTACCTTGCTCCATGTTTCCCTTGTCTCCCTATTGTGACTGCATTGAATTGATGTGATGATTATCTTTTGTTTTCAGCTTTTTCTTCAGCCTTTGAGACTTGAGTATTATTTTCTTATTGTAATGTTTTTTCCAGACTCATGATAATAGGGAGCACTTAGCCATGATGGAGAGAATACTGGGCCCTGTCCCGTCCAGGATGATAAGAAAAACCCGGTAAGACATAATGAACATCAGGCATCTTCCATGAGTCAACATACAAACAGAAAGTTCAAACTTTCATCACATAATTAATGTTGATATGGATTTTTCTAACAGAAAACAGAAGTACTTTTATCGTGGTCGTCTGGACTGGGATGAAAGCTCCTCAGCAGGAAGATATGTTAGAGAGAACTGCAAACCCTTGCGGGTGAGAGACACTGTGACTTATTGGTATCATTCGCTTAAGAGTTTAATGTAGATGCATTACATACTACATTGTGTGGTCTTTGTCTTTCATTACTTATCTTGTTGGCCCTGTTTGCTTTCTGTCTCATCTGCTCTTCCGTCGCTGTCTTTCAGCGATATATCCTTTCTGAGGCTGAGGAGCATCACCAGCTGTTTGACCTGATTGAGGCCATGCTGGAGTATGAGCCATCTAAGCGCATCACTCTGACCGAGTCTCTCAGACACCCCTTCTTCCAGATCCCCATTGCATCAAGCGACCAGACACCAGGCAAGAGCTGGGAGGGCAACCGTGACATTAGCCGGTGACACTTGCCTCCACCAGTTTTTGTTTTGCGCCAAACCATTCAGCTTTCTCAGAAAACGGGTGCTGAGATTTAAGTTGGAACTGAGCTGATACGCCAAAAAAAGGAAGCTGAGTGTCACCTGGGGAAAGCTACACTCTTTTTATTTTTTTATTTTGAAGCAAACTCATTGACCAAGTAGTTTCACAGTGAGCTAAAATATAGGCCACTATTGTTTCTACTTTTACATGAAATGATTCGAAGTGGTACAATAAGGATGTATTTTGTCTTAAGGTGGTCCTTGTTGGTTATATTGCAGATTGGGCACAGTACTAGTTTATTTATTTATATATACTTTCCCAGTAATAATAGCTCAGTCTCTTTGCTCTTGGGCAGGTTGAAAACTATAAAATCCCATTTTTACTGAATTTTAGGGCCATGAAGGAAAATGTCTTCAAACTTATCCGAACTGTAGTCTTCCACACACCGAGGACAAGACGGAAGGAACTGATTAAGTAAGTTATGAACATGCAAAGTAGGTGGAGAAATGTTGAAAAGCCGATCTGCTGTTCAAAATATGACCAGCTATAATTTCCTAATGGACGGAAGGCAAAATGGAGAGGAGAATGTTCTAGAGCATATCTTTTGTAGCAAAACAAAAACAAAGGAGGTGCTGTTTTTTTTGTTTTTTTTTTTTGTTTGTTTGTTTTTGTTTTGTTTTTTTGTTGTTGTTTTTTTATATTTATTTAAAAAATAGGTTTCAAAGACATGAATGTAAACTAGAACCGAGGCACAAACTTAAATGCCTTGGTTCCTGTTTCTATCCTGTTTGGACAAGGTGGACAAGATGGGTCAGGGCTGCTCCTTCATCCGAATAAGCTCAGTTCTTCCAGTTGTCATCCAGTCGCTGAGGCCGAATAATGTTAACAGGCAACAGCTGAAGTGCAGTTTTGCCTCAGAAGCACTCCTCTTAGTACAAAATGTATTGTTTGAGTCAGTCTCAACAAAACAGGGCTGCTCTTTTACTGTGTAGTTTCATTTTTGAAAGACTTTATGAAATGTCATGTTTTAGCGTGGCTGAAAAGCACACACACAAAGACATAGACATACTTGTTTTCTATTATGTTAAAGGTTTTTCTCCATGTAACTAAGCACAGAACATTTGTGCCCATGTTTCTCGCCAGCGCAGGTTTCCAGTATTTATTTTCACGTCTGAATTGACGTTATTTCTGTTGGTGTTTTTGTATGAAGCTAACTGTGTTGAACTGTGTATATATAAATATATGTATCTATGACTGTATAGAATAAAGGCTCTGTCCGTTTGCCTGGTGTTTCTTGAAGTCATGGCAGCTCCGCAGGCAGGAAACGGCAGATGTCTTGTGTTTTTCTTTCAATCAAAGACAAGGGAAAAGAGATTTCCTCTGTTTTCTGTATCTCTGCCCGTCCTCAGAGACATGTTTTTGGGTTTAGAGTTGCCCATCTTCAGAGTGGTTTGTTGTAAAACGATGCGTTGTAGAGAAACCTTGCGACTCACGTCTTTACAGTGGTGGTGATAGGAACCTACACATATCTGTTTTAAATGTAGTGTTGATAATGATAAAATAGTGACAAGTCTTAAAAGTACATTTTTTGGGTGCTATATTGCCCTGGAAGTACCACCAGAAATGTTTTTTCCCCCCCTCTGTTTTTTTTTTTTTAAATGTGTTGGGCCAAAACCTTTCCCTCATAAAAGTGTTTTAGTCTTAAGGCAACATATAACATTTTCGTGTGATAACTTTCTGCGAGGTGGCTTTCAGAGACACTAAACTCTTCAGACGTGTGTATTCATAAAGCATCTCAGAGTAGTAGTGCTAGTTTAGGATCTGTTCCTGTCAGTAAAATCATTGTAAATAAGACATGAATCTGATTATAAATCACCACTGCCAACGAGGCTTTGTGACTTTGAGCCCTGGTTCCTGTCACCACCACTGTGAACAGTTCTGACTTGGTAAATTTCTCTACCGCAGAGTATTTCACATCAAACCACTCTGTTTACATCTTATCAATTTAAGTATGCAGAACTTGTGGAATCTGTTGAATTGTCTTTTATGACAATTAGCTATGACAAAACCTTGATAGCCCTACTGGCAGATCTCATGGGAACTCAGGGTCAGGGTCAGGGTCAGGCCTGGTGGGGAAAAACAGAAAAGTTTTGCTGCAATGTCGTGGTACTTTGAATGTCCATGGTGAGATCCAAATAAGGACACAAATTTCTAGTATAGTGCAGTTATATGGTAAACTAGCAGCAGTGCAGTAACAACATGCCACCAATTGCAAGAATGCAAACAGATGTTTGATGTGCTTATTCAAAAACGACCCAGCATAGTGATCAACTGTTGTACAAAGTGGTACAACCTCCTGTACCGTTCCTTGCTATAGCAGAGCTGAATGAGCATTGCTGAAGGTACTCTGCTGGATGACCAGTAGGTCTTGAAGGGATGTGACACATTGTCCAGGATGGATAATAGTTTGTTTCGTGTCCTCCTTTCCATGACCAAAAAGGTCAATGGAGCATCCCAGGACAGAGCCCGCCTTCTTTATCACTTTGTTGAACTTATTTGTTTCTCTGGTTCTAATTCTAGCTAAACAATATTTTGGCAGTAATAATCTCTATGACTTTTTCCCCAAACCCTTCATTTTACCTCAGTTTTTTCCCCTCTTTTTAATGTTAACTATGTGATATTTGCATGGTCATCCTAGTGGAAACCAGATTTCACCCTCCTTAGTTTGATTGTAAAATTGTAGAGGACCGAGATGTCTTAATACAAGACTATTTTTGTTTGCTTTTCCTGCTTGTGTTAATGGGGCCTTACAAGTAAATCTCCTTTTATTAGCCCTGTCTTTCATTAATAAGCTGGGAACAGAGGGCCAGAATCCAGGACAGTTTACTGATTTCCCTGCTTAAGCTGCAAAATAGCCAACAAAGTAGCCTCCAGGACTGGAGTTTCCCTTTGCTGACTTAAAGGCTTTGGCCTAACAGGGTGTTTGGGCTTACAGTCTTAATGCTCAAAGAGCAGCTACTCTTCAGACCTAAAATCAGTTAGAAGGCTTTATTTAGTCTCCGTCACTCAGTCAGTTACACTGATCTGATGCACAGTGTGTGAGCCAGAGGGCACCAAACCTGGAACTCCCCCATGTATTTGTTTAGCACATCTATAGCTAGAGACCAGTTACACTGATTTGGCTAAAGCTAAAGTCTGAGACAAATGGGGTGCAGAGCAGAAACAATATTTTGGAAAGCAGAAGCAGTATATCCAATAATTCTCAATATGATACTTCTAAGAACTCATACATTTTTACACTTATAAAATGATCTTATTAAGTCAACAAACATAAAAAAGTTATTTCCATCAGCCTTACTTCAAGTATCCATCCCAAAGTGATTGTAGTTTTTCAGATGTTCCTCCCACCTTCAAGGTAAATCATTAGAAGGGAGTTTTGCTAGTCTTTCAAGCAGAAAATCTCATTCTTGAACTGTTGTGGCACTACTGTAAGCGGTGAATAGACGTGTATTTTTCATGTTGGCTGGACTGCCTCTTTAATTACAAAATTATTATAATGAGAATTCAATATGAAGAGTTTTGTTCTAAAATGCGTTATAGACCACTTTCATGATCTGCATTGTTGGGACGAGTGGATCAGACACAGCAGTGCTGCTGGAGTTTTTAAACTCCATCTGTAGATCTGTTGCTGCACAGTTTGTGCAAGTCATCCTCAAGTCCTTCATCAGTGGTCACAGAACGCTGCTGGTTGCATATTCTTGGTTGGTGGACTACAGTCCAGCAGTGACACTGAGGTGTTCAAAACTCCAGCAGCACTTCTGTGTCTGATCCACTTGTACCAGCACAACACACACTAACATACCACCACCACATCAGTGTTACTGCAGTGCTGAGAATGATCCACCATACAAATAATACCTGCTCTGTGGTGGTCCTGACCATTGAAGAACAGGGTAAAAGGGGGCTAACAAAGTGTACAGAGAAACAGATGGACTACGGTCTGTAATTGTAGAACTACAAGTGCTCCTATATGATAAGTGGAGCTGATAAAAAGGACAATGAGTAGAAACGATTGTTTTAATGTTATGGCTGATTAGTGTGTATTATGATTAGTAATAATTTTATTAGAGAAATTAAAATGTCCTTGATTCTTTCAAAATTCCAAAGTTATATCAAAAATTAATACAGCTTCACTGCAATTTATGAAAATATTCAAGTCTTAAAACCATAATATGGTCCCTGTATGCACTACTTGCGAAATTATTTTTTGGATCCATCTTAAAACCCCTTAAATGGCCAAGGCCCACCTGTGGGCCCAAAGTTTTATTACACACTTCTATAAAATAAGAATAGCTCAACCAGTTTGCACTGAAGTCCCTGTAGTTACTAAATAATAAGCCTGGGATTTTAAGGGTTTAATTGTGGCTACTTTGGAATTCCCCAGGACTTCGTAAAGTGTTTTTAGATAACGGTACAGATAAGCTTCAACAAAAACACATTAACATAAGGTGGCACTGTCTTCTAAAACTCTGTTAGCATTTCTTACGCTGTTTGAAAAAGCGTGAATGGTTGTTGGGTTACTGGGTTCATCAGAAAGTTGAGCTGTGAATGAGGTTGTTGTGTGAATTAAGAATAAGGTTGTTGTGGGTCTCCTGAGTGCAGCAGTTGCTGAAAGGTGTAAATAACACTCTGACTGCGTCATTGCCCGGGTACCAACCTCGTCATTCATGCTTTTCAGCGTCTGTCGCCTTCCAGTACCTTTCTTCCTCCTCCCCTCCTCCATCTGTTTAAAGGAGAGATTTCACTCCTTAATCTGTCTTTCCTGTTAAGAACGGCTGTCATTGGGTCTTTTGAGGGGTCATAATATAAAGGTGTAAAAAACAAAAAAAATCACTTGTATTTTTTACGCTGCCTCATCTCACGTTGTAGGAGACTAACCACATGTGTACTATATATAGTTAATTTGGTGTTTATAAGCTGAAGTCACCAGGCTTTTCTCGTCTTCACGTGCATTTGGAATTCCCTGCTGTCACTAACGAGATTACGGTCTATTATGTGGATTTGTGATTAGCAGAGGGGAGACTGGGGGGATGGGACCAGGGTTTAAAAACATGTAACCTGATGCCAAACCCATAAGATTCACAAGGAGGCACAGCTTTCTGAGCTGGAATACAACACTGAATGAGATATGGATGCGTAAAAACTTGCTTTGATTGAGTGCAGTCATCAGGTATCAGGTATGTAGAGATTCACATCTCCTGTATTTAAGTGTTCTACAGTTTTGTATTAAAGTCTAGTTCCAGTCTGTGGCAGTGCTGAACAGGTGTGAATAGAATTTTTTCACTTGTACTCCTTCAAAATACCACATAATGACATAGTTCTAATGATCTAATTTAAATATGTTTTCAGTAAAAAACAATGTGGTTTTTATTCATAACATTGTCAATTGCTTGAGAGGAGTATATAAGGTAGGTACATCGATTTTTTTGTTGAAGCTGCATAATTAAATGGCAAACAGAATTAATCAGAGTGGTTTGATGTGAAATGCTCCATTCTAGAGTCAGAATTGTTCACAATGTTGGTGATAGAAACCAGACGGCTGAAGCATTTAATGCCTCTAAAAGCTCCTCAACAGAAAGTTACTGCATGAAATGGTTATGAATAAAAATGGCAAATGATTGTGTGTGAACACACTGATTGTGGAGAGATAGGGAGGATATTGTAAGGCAAAATAGAACCACAAGAAAATGTATTACTGTTGTATCAGTAATAAATCAGTACTGTTATTGATTTACTACTGTTGTACCATCATCAACATTACATATAAAAGCTTAGAAGACACATGTAGGTGCAGTAATTCTTTTGGACTGTAAATAAAGTGTATATTTTTTGCACTGTAAACATAGCAATAAAGTCAGTTTCTCTACAATGAACCATTTCACATCAAAAAACTATGAGTGGATTTCCCTTGAAAAATGCAGCTTTCTTGTAAAGACATGCTGAAAGTGCAAAAGGTGTAAAAGGTTTAATTAATATATATATATGTATATATGTAGCATATCGCTGTTGTCGAAAGAAAACCTCGTATCTCCATTTTGTCATTTTTCAGTTTTTTACATAATTTAAAAATGACTGTTGCTCTTTACATTGTGTGTACATCTCATGAAGAATGAACCAAAAGAAATTACCCAAAATGACTTAGAAAAAAGTCTGGTTCCATTGACTTACATTAAAAGTAAAGTGTGTTTTTTCCTTCTCCTGTGAAGTTACCATTTTGGAGATACAATGTTTTGTTCTGACAATATGATAGGTATATATTACATGTTTTGTTGATTTCCTAAGTGAAAATAAGTGAACACATCCTCTACAGAGAACACACATCTGCACATGTTAATGCACAGTTACTGTTTCTATGCTTAACATATTGGGAAAAAAATAAAACCTACATTGTGACCTGTGCTAAAGTTACAGCACATTTTTATTTCATGTTTTATTTGTACTAAAATGCTAATCTCAGCAGAAAATTGCACACTAAATTAATTGTAATTTGACTGGGGGTGTTCAAACTTTTGCAGACTGCATATAAGACTGTATATAAGAGAGAGATTAATGGATTATCTATCTACATCTCTCTGCATTTCATCTCATTTGTTGACTGAATTACATTTTGGGTTGTAATTGAATTCTAAACCTTTATTTTCCTTATTTTTCAGGTTCTGACATATCCATCAAGAGTGCTTATCAACTTGGAACAAACTGCCTAAAGAAATCTGCATTCATTTTGATTAAACTACTGAAACTCCAGCTCATTCACATTCCACAAACTAGCATAAGCCCATCTGTATGGGCAGCAATCAGGAAAAGGCCTGCAGTGTTGAGGTTTGAAGATTAGACAGAAGCAAACACTCTCCAGTTGCACACTATAGTATTCTAGAGGGGAGAGATGGATGCCATAGTGAAGAAATCCCTTGGCGCTCCGGTCAGACAGTTGTCCAGCTGTGTTTCGGGGGTGAAGGATGGCATGGGTCGGAAAGGAAAGAGTGTTCGGAGAAAGAGCGCCCCCTGTTGCTACTCTCAGACAGCACATGACTCCTCCTGGATCAGAGCCTATCAAGCAGAACTGCACAGAGAGAGGCAAGTAAATCCATGTAGCTTCAAATACAGGTCATTTCACTTTGGCTCCGAACAAGACACATTTTGGGCAGCTCTGGTATAGAACATTTACATAATGTGGGAGTTCTTTTAAATTTTATAAAGGTTTTTCATACTAACACATCTTTAAAGGACCATCCATTGAAAGGTTCTCTAAGGAACCAATAATGGTTCTAATAATATGACGTTGCTCTAGGGAACTCCTTTTGGCACCTTTATTTTATGTTACTGCTGCAGTGAGTCTTTCTAAGTAGTGTCTGTTGTTAATTTTTGAACAGAAAACTGAGGCAAGTCATGTTATCTAAGAAGAATGCAGAGAGAGCAGCGATGAGAACTCATTACAGGAGCCCACACCGGTACACAAAGGTGAGAGATTGTGTTTACCACAGGGTAAACTGCCTGTTTAAGAAAACATAACTTTCAGAAATGCTAACATTTTGTATGTAACATTTTGCTGTTTTGAGCTGTGTAGAATGTCTTTTGTTTGCACATTGCAAACTGATAGAACAACTTACAGAAGTACTAGCTTGGGAATAATGCTATACGGGCCGCATTTTGCTTTATTTTACATAATAGTGATGTCAGCACACATCAGCACTTAAACTCTTTCACTTTCAGTATCTAAATTGTATTTGTGTATTTGAGTTTAATAAAGCCAGATAAATTGGTTGTTAATGATAATTAATTTTAAACTAAAATTTTTAACAAACCATTTTTACAGTGTAAGGAAAAATCTGCTCTTCATACAAAGGAACACACTTTGCTGAGTGTTGCAAAATATACCCAAAATATTAGTAAATTTATTTATGTTAATAAAAACCTTTGCTTTATTTTTAATACATAGAAATGTAACTGTGGAAATCCAAAAAAGACAAAGTGTCCTCAAAGATTTGATGGCCAGTTTTCTCCATTCGAATAAATACCTTCATGAAAAGTTTCGTATGTGCTTAGTTATATTTAGGATGTTGTGTTTCTCCTCCGTAGACATCTCAAGACAGGACGCAGCTAAAGACCAAAGCCCCCCAAAAAAACGACGACTCCCTTTTCGGTGCCTTCCAAGGGCTGAGCCTCAACATGGGTGGCACCCAGGCTTCTCTGCCCGCACCACCAAGCGCAGAGCAGTGTAAAGTCATGTGATTAGCAGGATTGATAACTCACATTAGTTCTGCACACCTGTGCAGCTTTGGTTACGGCAATATAAAGGAAATATCTTTGACCGTCTACGTGGACTTTTAGCCACCATCGATGCAAATGAACCTTAGTTTCGTTAATGACATCATCATGACTGTCATTTTATTACTTTATATCTGTGACTTCATTTATTTTATTGTTGAGATATTGCTCTGGGATATTCTGTCCCCCAGAGAATTTTGTATAAAGCCTGTATACAAAGTGCTTTTTTTTAAATGATTATTTATTAAATAATAAATTATATTAAAAAATACTTTTAACCCACAATCCCACTGGTCATTTTAAGTGTTATTTTCTCCACAATGGGCTGACATACCTTGGTCAAAATGTATTCAAAGTTGATCCATCTCTGTTCCTTCCGAGCCAGTACAATATTTAATGTCTCATTTTACTGTGACACCTTCAGTGGGTGTTGTTCATTCAAGGTCTGAAAGGTCTGTTTGGCAGATTTATATGTCCCAAAAGAAAAGAAACCCACTGTTTATTATCTGTCCTTGCATTACCCTGAAGGCAGGATATTACAGACGTATTACTTTTGCAAATACAGTGCATTTCTTTGTGACTGAAGTATAAATAACCTGCTCTCCATTTTATTACCTCTTTACATTTTCTGGAACTTTCTTCACATGTTAAGAGTTCTTATATCTCTCCATTATGGTGTTTGGTTTCCAGGTAACTCATTGTATTCCTCTGAACTGAGGTCTGAAACTGTGGTTTATATAGAGTTTGTATACAGTACATGCTGTGCCTAAAAGCCATTTTACATCCCAGCACAAACATCAGTGAATGTAAGAACCTGAGAATTCTGCATGGCAAACATCTCATACCCTAGCAGAAAGTTTCTATTCACTGCCCCCTTGGCAAACTGCCAAGATGGATATCAGTTCATGTCAGTACAACCTAATGTTCATTTAGCCTAATTAACGCTAGGTTAGCCATCAAGGAGTGGGAACCCCCAGGCCTCATGATTCCTGGGGTCTAAAGTTAATTTTTATTTTATAGAATGCTTGTATTTAAACGCTGTAATGATTGTAGTAAGTCTCTTATTTCATTGTTAAATTGTGACTGAAAACAAAGGGGTCAAAAGCTTGAAACAGCCAATGCAAAACTGTCCAATAAGGATTTTTTTTATCTGTGATATTTAGGTAGATACAGCCAAGGAAGCGCTCCCAATGCTTAGGACTTCAGGAGCCAAACTGAAGGCCTTACATGTTAGACTTAATAACTGACAGTGGAATCAACAAGTCACATTCGGATATACAACAATTTTGTGAGAAAAACATCACTCTAGGTCTTCCACAAGTCCTAGAAACATCACTGACAGCAAACGTGAGTAGTAGTCTAAATAGGTTTCAGTCTCTTAGGCTACGATTTTTTGCTCAGATCTGATCTTTTTAAGTTGATGGTTCATATTGGTGTACATAAATGATGCAAATCAGACATGATATAGAGGAGGAGACTGGTCACTGGTTGGGATATGAATGGGAAAGCTTGAACGCTCAATATGGCGTCTGTTTACGAGTAAAGTCCCGTCGATAAAATGAGCCAATCAGCTCGCTGGTTACACTGCGAGCGGGGAATGCGCCCTCCTCACATTTCGATGCGGACATCTGCAAGCAGATGTTAGATTTTATCAGTGATTTCAGAAAATATATTTAAAACATTTATATGGCCTTTGGTTTCAGTTTTATAGACCTCTGCCTGGTCCCAAAGATAGGAGTCTGGTCTTGTACAAGTAGAAATCACAGTCACATGGTAGAAATAACTGACTGGTGGCGATACCAAGATGGCCGTTGAGTGGACAGACTTTCCTATAATGACTTTGCTCAAAATGGTCATTAATGCTAGAGAAGATACATGGTAGAGAAGCCGAGAGCCGCCATGTCAAAATATTTTTGGCAAGCAAGACGGGAGACTCATTCCCCCCTTTAAGCAGACAAAAGCCTCAAGCCCCATTAACACAAGTTGCAAATTCTACCCATTTTGCCAAAGCAGTTATTTCCCACTTTTAATATTACAGCGAACTTGTGGTCATTTTTGTAATTGTTAGAGTCTTGTGAGATGCCCAGTCTTTCTGCCCAGGCTGCTGCTGTTGCCCAGGGTGATGTGGGCACGGCAAAGCGGTTGATGCCATATTTAAACAGACAGGAAACTCCTTTTTGCCCCCATTGACTTGAATAGGCATGCACCATCTTAGTATACCTTATATATTATCTTTGTTATTGTGAACCTGTGTGCTGAAATTAACCACACGCGCACATCTTAATCAATAACATCATGTGAATGAACCACGTGTGTTTCATGAACAGCAAACTAACCAGTAGCACAAGCCTTTTCTGCGCAGATAATTTACTCTGAACAGCTCTCAGAAAGGTGTTGGATGCATTGCTTTTGCATCGTTTACTACTCGTTCACACAGAGCCGGTTAAAGGGGAGCCTGGCCACTTCCTATTTCTCCCATAATATCAGAAATATGACTGCAAAACGCCAGAGGGCGTCTATGAGCGAGTCCTAAATGAATGGGGGTGAATGGAGCTAAACGGCTAAAAATGAAATGTTAAAGTTTCTAACCACTTGTCCAGAACCTTTCTTTAATTTAGAAATTAGAATGATGTATTTCACTAAAAAAAGCAAAGAGACCTTGCCTGTGTATTTCCTTTTTTCTGCAGTAAACAGGTGTTGGGCAGTAGGATGCTAGCATTACTGCTACTGAGTGCTCATCGGTTAGAATTACTGCTACTCAGTGCCGATTAGTTAGCATTAATGATACTGAGTGCTGATTGGTTGGCATTACTGCTACTGAGTGCTGATTTGTCAGCAAGCAAAGCAGCTCATTGACTTAGTGAGGCGGTTCATGCTCACTGATGTCATGAACGTACATGAGGCGCTGTTAGAAAGTAATAAACTGGAGTTCAGAAAATGTTTTTGTTGTCATTGTTCAGGAAACAAACGCATTTTTCTATACAACAAAACGTTTAAGCATTTACAAACTATGATTTTGCTGAAATACTCCACATTAACCCATTCATTGTGGACTTCCTCGAGAGCGCCCTCTAGTGTTTGACAAACCTGGAAGACATTGCCGAGAGGCAATACTCCTCTCTACAGATTCTCTGCTTCTCATTAAGGTTGAATGGCCACAAATCAGATATGTATCCAATTTAGAACCATTTTTGAAAGTGGCTCCGAAATGATTTGAAAAGATCAGATTTGCATGTCCACACAGCTCTGAAAAAAATTGCATTTGTGACACTTCAGCCTTTTAACACAATCTGAATGCGTAAAAGGAGTTTTTGGTTCATTTTTATTATACGTTTTACAGTTTATTATACGTTCTCCAGCTTCTCTTTAGCAGCAGACGCGACACGCATGGTGTTTTTAAAGGAGTTTAAAAATAGTACCTAAACGGGGCTCCCGAGTGGCGCAACCGCCTAAGCGTTGGCCCCATCATCAGGAGATCGCGAGCTCGATCCCTGGTGATGCTACAGCCATCCGTAGCCGGGAGTCCAAGAGAGCACAACTGGCCTCGCTCTCCCTGGGTGGGCAGGATCACCCCACCCAACGCGACGCCAGCCAGCGCAGGCGCACAACACACACCAACGCCAGCTGACGCAACAGATCTGGCGGTTGGCGCCCTCCTCCGAGCGCGCTCAGCTGTCCACCGACGTTGCGCGAGCGGCAGTTCGAAAAAAGAAGCGGTGGCGCCTCACAGGCCTCGGAGGATGCCTGTGTTAGCCTTCGCCCTCCTAGCGTTGATAGTATCGTGTGACTGGGGGAGAAAATTGGGTTAAAATAAAAAAAAAAAACTCTCCAAAGGTCCAGTTTTCCATACATACACCAGTCAGCCATAACATTAAAACAACCTCTTTGTTTCTACATTATTTTATCAGCTCCACTTACCATATAGGTGCACTTTGTATTTCTACAATAACAGACTGTAGTCCATCTGTTTCTCTGCATACTTTGTTATCCCACCTTTACCCTGTTCCTCAACGGTCAGGACCCCCACAGGACCACCACAGAGCAGGTATTATCTGGGTGGTGGATCCTTCTCAGCACTGCAGTGACACTGATGTGGTGGCGTGTTGGTGTGTGTTGTGCTGGTCTGAGTAGTTCAGACACAGCAGTGCTGCTGGAGTTTTTGAACACCTCAGTTTTACTGCTGGGCTGAGAATAGTCCACCAACCAGAAACATCCAGCCAACAGCGTCCTGTGACCACTGATGAAGGACTAGAGGATGACCAACAGATGAGCTCCTGTCTCTGACTTTACATCTACAAGAAGCAACGAGGTAGGAGTGTCTAATAGTGAAAACTGAAAAGCACTTCCATAGTCTAGGATCTGCACAAGGTAGGGGCTTCTCTCACAGGAACGCTGGCCCACAGTAGGAGTGGTTTTATGGTTATTGTGTGTCTTTGTTGCTAATGTGAGTCGGGCCATGTGCTATATTGTTTCTGGTCGTCGTGCTGAGGGTCTGACTAACACTCGGACGCAGCAACAGGACACCGGGTCCCTAACTCACTCACTCACTCACTCATCTCGTACTTGGAAATGAGACACCTGCGCGTTCACGACACGCCGCGCGCGCCCAGTCTGGCGAACGGCGGGAGAGTGGATTTGTGGATGAGTCGCGCGTGGACGCGCTGAGAGCACTAAAGCGCACACTCAGGTGTCAGCAGGAGGGACAGCAAGCCGATTACACACCCCAACCTCTGGATTTCATCTTTCCGCTTGCGCAAGACACACGGGGAGAGAGAGAGAGAGCGAGAGAGCGAGAGAGAGAGCCGCGCGCTGTAGAGGCTCCTCAGATTGGTCTCCGCTTTCAGACTCCAGCAGCTCTCCTCACCGAGCACACACGGGAGGTCAAAGGAAAGAAGTACAAAACGGACAGAAACTGCGTTTTCTCTGGAAAGTTTGGACTTTAAACTCGAGAAAACATCGGTCTGCACTTTCTGTCAGCGTCTCCTTTCTTTTTAACGTGACATTTCGTAGTTCGTGTAACTTCGTATTTACTCAGTTTCGTTCTCCGAGGTTTTCTCTTTTTTCTCTCTGAGGAGGCTCACTTTTGTACAAGTTTGACCTTCTCGGCCTCCTCAAACTGGGTGGACAAACCAGGAGTCCTCCTCGTTTGGGAAGCCACAAATTCAGTCACTGTTTGCCAGCTCGGACATTACTGAGCTGTTAGTGTAACCACGCTAAACTTTCAAACGTTTGGAATCACTTGTAGTTGTTTGGGTTTATTAATAAACAGTCATAGCCTATACAATGTAGATTCAAATGTAGACACGAAAAGGTGGTTTTAGATGTTTTAAACGTTTTGAAAACAAAAAAGGTCATTAAATGATAAATAGTATACTGTCGTTATCTATCTGCAGTACTTTATATCTCCTTCAAGATTTCATTAGAACTTCAGTGTTATTGCTTTGCAGCCAATCAGTTCAGAACCTCCCTTCATCAACCTAAAATGTATTATTATAATTATTTTACAGTTTATTAGCTTCCTATTTGAGGAGATCTGTTGCACAATTCTAGCATATCGCAATTATTTTCCACATTTTCTACATTTCACATCAGCAAACAGATTTCATATTATTAAAAACATTGATTCCAAACTTTTGAACGGTGGTGTATATTTACAAATATTAAATGAAAGTTTAAAGTTGTTAGAGAATGGATGGTAACGGAGCAGGTGAAGAAATGGGCAGTGAGGAGCATCCGGCCCCTAATGGTGACTCCAAACAGCGAGGCAGGTTCTCTTTACCCGGCTGGCGCTCCTCGTCCCAGTCCTCAGTGCATGGAGAGCGAAGTGGGGACCTGAGCCGGAGGCTGCTGTCCCTCGTCAACCGCTACGATGATCGAGATGGCTCCGTGGCCGACCTCAACTCCAAACCCTCAGAGGTGACCGTAGGGTCTGAAGGACCTACCCCAACCACAGGCCATCGCACATCCACTGCTTCCAGCTCTGGCAAAGCCATGCCTGACACCACAGGGCCTGGGGGCGTCGTGTTCACCCCAGGCTTAGAGGACTATGACTCTATTGACCAGTCCATGAACCTCCACAAGCAACTGAGCTCCATGCTGCAGCCAGGGGTCAACAAGTTCTCCTTGCGCATGTATGGAAGCGCCAAAGGGGTTGCGGCCGAGCAGGAACGAGTCAGGTCCTTTGGGGTGTGGATTATACATCCATACAGTGACTTTAGGTGAGTAACTCACGTATGAACTTGGAACATGGGCTGAAGGGTCAGTGGTGTAACTACCAGGAGTCCAAGGGGGCTTTTCTTGGACCCCTAAAATTGCTACTTACATAGTTTTACACTCATTACTCACAAATGCCTACGATAATGTAACAATATACTTCAGTCATTGGCACACATCAAAGCACTAGCTTGGTTGAGACAAACAGTTGTATGCAAAAGTTTGGGCACCCCTGGTCAAATTGCATGTTTTCTTCATTTTCTAAATGAAAATAAGTGAACACGTCCTCTAAAGAGAATACACACATTTTAATGCACAACTGTTTATTTGATGAATTTAACATAAAACATAAAATTTGGCCTGTGGAATAGATGTTGTGCACTAAAATGGCAGAAAATGCCATGTTTGTTAACCTATTCGCTTAGAAAATCAACAAAACATAGAATTCTGGTGCTCAAGCATTTGCCCAGCTATAGCCAGTAAACAGCCAAAAGTACATTGTTACATTGGTGGGCCCATGTTTTTTGCACTGGGCCCCATATGGGGATGGACACCCAGGCTGTGGCCTGACGTGGGTCAAAAAACTTTCACTAGCCTGTCATTGTATAAAATCCAGATTAATCCTGTATATTCTTGGTATGGATTTATTATCCCATCCATGCTGTTGCACCAAAGTAGAGACGCTTAACGTAACGTATAGAGTTATATCATAACGCGCAATAAAAATAAACCTCACTTGACCTCTGCTTCTTTAGGGTTGACCCTAAAGGTTTAATCGGTTCCGCACCGCTTTGAACTAAACAAATCAGGCCGCTCTTACTAACACAGGCTTCCAGGAACTGATTACAGTAAACATTGTTTGTATTAGTTGGTGGTGGTGGCAGTGTCCATTATTTGGTGGGATGCCTCACCCGCCTATCACAAATGCTGCAGTCCAGGAACAGGAGGATGTGGGAAATTAGGACAAGAACTTGCAACTGATATCAAAAATATAGCTTTCAGTGTCATTGTTATCGAATGTGTTCCAATCTGATATTGGAGTATAAATAGCAAAGCAACATACCCCAAAATAAAAACTTAATGAAATATCGTCAATCAAACCGCAACAGTGCCAAGTGGATGTCTCAGGTGCTCCGAATTAAACCCTCAGAACACATTCACTGCTGGGTCTCTCAATCTCCGCTGAAACAGACACACTTGTGTAGGGCATTGAGTTACCATTCTCTCCCCTCATAAGGTTACCATGAGTCAGTGAGGGGTATCACTGCAAACTAGATGGTCAGGAAAGACCCATGGAGGGTTGCGGGTGTCAGGTTGACGTCCTGTGGCCGGTATTAGTGTGCAGGAAGTGGAGGTTGAGATAAATGGATAAAGGGATTGTGTTTAAGGATGGAGAGAGGACTAATCTTCTTCTATAGAGAACCAGAATTCTTTGTTCCATACTTGTCTTGTGCAGTGTTTTAGGTGCACATTTGATATAGATTGGGCGAACAGATTGTCTTTGCTGATAGTTCAGATATTTGCATGGTAAAGCAGTGGGTCAGTCATTTGCATTGCTAGACTTTTTGTTCAGTGCCTCTAAAATCACAATGTGACTTTTAAAGGCCCAGACAGCGCTACAGCTTTCCAAGAACTAATGACATCATCAAACATCTAGCATGATATGAAAATGTATACATTACACATTTTTGCAAATACGTGCTTGTTGTAGTGTTAGTCTTTGAAAGGTCACACTGATTCCTTGCTGGGGCTTTAACGAGGCTGTCCACCTGCTTTAATATCTTGTGTTAAGTTGAAGGTTTCTATCTGAAAAGGGCATGTTTTAAGGATTTAATAAACCATGAAGTTGAAAAGGTCATTTTTCATAAAAAGTAAAAGTAAACTCCATCACCAGTAACATCAGCTTTGAATAAAAAGCAGTAATCCTTCACGACTAGTATTAGATTTGTATAAGACACAGAAATACAACCCCATTTCCAAAAAAGTTGGGACCCTGTGCAGAATGTAAATAAAAATAGAATGCAATGATATGCAAATCATGTAAACCATATTTTTAAAGGAAAATAGTACAAAGACAACATATCAAATGTTGAAACTAAGAAATTTTATTGTTTTTTGAAAAATATTTGTCTGTTTTGAGTTTGATGCCAACAACACATTCCAAAAAAAGTTGTGACAGGGACATGTTTACCACTGTTTTTCATCACCTCTTCTTTTAACAGCACTCTGTAAGTGGTTGGGAACTGAGGAGACCGACTGCTGTAGTTTTGAAAGTGAAATGTTTGCCCATTCTTGTTTGATATAGGATTTCAGCTACTCAACAGTTTGAGGTCTCCTTTGTTGTATTTTTAGTTTCATAATGCGCCAAATGTTACCAGCAGGTGACGGGGCTGGACTGCAGGCAGGCCAGATTAGCACCCGGACTATTTTAATACGGAGCAGTGCTGTTGTAATACATGCATAATGTGGTTTGGCATCATTTTGCTAAAATAATCAAGGCCTTCCCTGAAAAAGACGTCATCTGGATGGCAGCATATGTTGCCAAAACATGTATATATATTGTTCAGCATTAATGGTGCCTTCACAGATGTGCAGGTCACCCATGCCATGTGCACTAATGCTCCCCTATACCATCATGAATACTAGCTTTTGAATTGTGCACTGCTAACAAGCTGAGTGTTCTTTAGCCCAGAGGATACAGTGTCCATGATTTCCTAAAAGAATTTCAAATGTTGATTCATCAGACCACAGGACACTTTTCCAGTCCATTGTAAATGAGTTCAGGCCCAGAGAAGGTGGCAGCGTTTCTGGATCCTGTTTTATATATGATTTCTTCTTTGTATTTTAGAGTTTTAATTTGCATTTGTGGATGCAGCGACGAACTGTTTTCACAGACAGTGGTTTCCAGAAGTGTTTTGGAGCCCATTCAGTGATTCTACTGCAGAATCGTGTCTGTTTTTCATGGCCCAAAGATCACGGCCAGCAAATACTGGTTTTTGGCCTCGTCCCTTGCATACAGAGATTTCTCCAGATTCTCTGAATCTTTTAATGATATTATGTACCGTAGATGATGAAAAGCAAAAGATCTTTGCTATTTTATGTTGAGAAATGTTATTCTTGAATTGTTGCACTATTTGGTCATGCAGTCTGTCACAGAGTGGTGAACCCCTCCTCATCTTTACTTCTGAAGGACTCAGCCTCCCTGGGTTGCGCATTTTATACCCAATCATGTTACTGACCTGTTGCCAATTAACCACCAGATGTTTTTTTTAGCATTACACAACTTTACCAGCCTTTTGTTGCCCCCGTCACAACTTTTTTTGGAATGTGTTGTTGGCATCAAACTCAAAACAGACAAATATTTTTCAAAAAACAATAAAATTTCTTAGTTTCAATATTTCATATGTTGTCTTTGTACTATTTTCAATTAAATATAGGGTGTAAATGATTTGCACATCATTGCATTTTGTTTTCATTTACATTTTGCACAGCGTCCCAACTTTTTTGGAAATGGGGTTGTACATCATTAGTAGCATTTTGTTGCTGTTGTGCAAAAACCTTGTCCATTTATTTGTTTGGTATTTGTTTTTAGTTGCTCTTGCATTTAGTGGGTGTATGATATACTAGTATTTGTTTGTATCTGTGCAAAAGTCAAAGATGAACCTATTTATTTCATCAGTCAAAATGGCCATTAAGTACAAGTTATTCATTTTTCAGTATCAGGAAAAAAAAGAAAACAGTTTTTTAAATACATGGTTCTGGAATTGAAATGGATTGGAATGGAGTGGAAAACCAAGGGGGTTTCATGATTCCTGGTTCAGCAAGCTAACTGAGGCCTAATGCCTCAAATTCTAACCAGCTCAATCACTAATTACTCTCTACAGCTGACCTGCTCCAAAGCAAGTGATGACACAGCTTAGGTTAACTGAGCAAGATCATTTTTTGATTCGTAAATAATCAAATGTGACAGATTGCCTCTTGCTTGCATTAACATTCTCAGTTATGTACAAAAATGTATTACATTATTTTGGGCAGTATCGTTGTTTTTTTTGTTCTAATAACTAATATTATTAGCATGGCCTAACTTTCCTAAATGATTGTCCTGGATTAATTGTGATGAATCATGGAAGTGCAAAGTGTTGTACTATAAAGAATCACAGGTTGTAACTGTAGGCCTTTTTCGGTTTTGCTATTGGCCTCACATATTGGTCAATGTGTTTGAATTCGACATTGCAATATATGTGCACTTGTGGAAGTGCCAGTGTAAGTATAGTATATTTAATCAGTCTAAAATGAAACTGGCTTCCTTCTTTCTGGGTTGGTAGGATGGCCCTCAAATGCTAGCCAGTACGTGCATCTGTCAGCTGGCATAATAGAATTGGCTGTTAGTTAGCATTCTCCTTCAAGCATGTTGAGCTGTGCAATGACGTTGCATTAGTAGCGATTTGAAAAGATACAGTGGTGTCTTGGAGGAAGCTTGTGTTAGCTTTAACCCTCCCAGCTTGGTGGCGAGACCTAGCTAATGGGTGGGAATTGGCCACGACAAGCTTGAGGAAGAAAAATAAATAAATGAATGAATGAATAAAAGTACTTTAGGCATTTCTCCATCTCAGGCAGATCAAACTGTTCTCCAAGACTGGAATTTATGCACAGTATCCAATATGTTGCTTAATTCTCGTGAAAATGAGTTTGCGTGCCTCATTGTTTGCAGATAAAAGAGGAAACAACAAATGCACATAGCACCATCAGGTCAAAACTGCAATTAAAGCCTTGTGACTTCTTAGTCAGAGTTAAGCTATAATCTCAGAACAGATAATGGCTCAGTGGTATTAATGGCTATACTCTACATAAAACTCCCTGCCCTCATATAATCCTTCATACAGTAAATAACCAACAGAATACATGGAAGTTGATTAATTATATAACTAATGTAGTGTTTTATGTAGTTATTATGCACAATAAATGGCAAATGTATTCTTTGTCAAGCTCTTACTTAAATGCTCCG